TTGCTGCACTTTGGTCACACAGTGCAAGATGCATGATGTGCTTTGTTAACCAGTAATTGGACTGGCTACATAGAAGATCCTAGCTCAGGCTGCAGAGTATACTTACTCAGGACTCTGAGCTCGACTGAACATAGCAGGACTTACTTCTGAGTAAACATGCATAGGACTACATTGTCAGTGCCTGAAGCTACATTGCATTTTCTGCAAGTTGAGCATAGTTCTGTAAATCTTTAGCGCAGCCAAATAATAGAAACTGTCACTGTCAAAAAAAAAGCTTTAGTATTTTGTATTTTGATGGGGCAGCTTCTGTTAATTGTTGACTGCTATTTTATATTGTGTTTTACACAGCGTTTTACTACAGATCATTTTGATTTTTTATAGTTTTAAAATCATTGCTCATAGCTGTCAACTTTTCCCATTTTTTAAGGGTAATTCCCTTATTCAGAATAGGATTCCTCGCAAGAAAAGGGAAAAGTTGACAGGTATGTCATTGCTCCTAGTTGCCTCACACAGCAACAATTCCCAGAGTGGTTTAGCAATTTTTGAGGGGAATAAGGATCTCCTAAGAACACTCAGCGTCCTTAGCTAACTAGACTTCCCAGGATCCTTTGGAGGAAGACACAACTGCTTAAAGTGGTATGACACTCCTTTAAATGTATAGTGCAGATGGGGCGACAGTTACACTTATCCTAGTACTACACATGGACATTTTAAAGTACGTCCTACCCTATCCTTGTGTGGATTTTTAAAGGTTAACTCTGGAGAAATCCTTTTAAAAGGTATTTAAAACATTCACAGAACACATACACACGCAGAGTACTTATGAGGTGAACCAAGGCCTACTCTCTCCTTTGTGTTGTTTTTTTCTTATTTTAACACTTATTTCAACAGTTATTTCATCCCATTGCACCTCTACCGTGTACTTTAAACACTATAAAAATGGTACAGAAAGTTACTGCATGCCACTTTCCATGTAATGGTATGTACAAAGAGCATTTTATGAACAACAAGATGACTGATCCCATGTACTGATGGCTATTTCAGAATGGCACAGGATACCACGTACTCAGTTATTATGCCCCACAAGTGGCATAAGGAACATACCAGTACTATGTATATGCCATTTTCCATACATACATTGCCCATTTGTACATACAGTTACACACTTCCTGCAGAAAAAAGTGTTTTTACTTAAGCCACGATGCCTTAAAGCTGCTCCAAGCAGCTTTGCACTGTTACAGCAATCAATCAATCAATCAATCAATCAATCAATCAAAAGAGAGCAAGCCCTCAGTTGACCTCCTAAGTACAATGGCTGAACCAACCCTCAGAAAGAGTCGTAGATCTAAAGAACTAAACTGCAGGTCTGTGGCCTGTTTGCACTGGTCTGATGACTGGTTTCGCAGCAAAATCTGGTATTCTCTGACATCCCAAATCTAATCTAATATCTGTTTACCCTAACTGGAAACAGTTCTCCATGCTCTCAGATACAGACCTTTCCTCAACACCTGCTACTTGACCCTTTAAAAACAAAACAAAACAATAACCCTATGAGGTAGGTTAAGCTGAGTGACTGGCCCAAGGTCGCCCAGTGAGCTTCATGGCTGATTGGGGATTTGAACTCTAGTCTCCAAGGTTCTAGGTTAGCACTCCAACCACTATACCACACTGGTTTTTATTATGAGCTCCGCCCATGTGGCCCAGATCTTCCCAACATTATCTGAATAATGCGGGAGAAGCACAAGCTGCAGTGAACCCCACACCACCCAAGGACAGACCTTAGGACATGGTAGGCCATGCTAAAAAGAATACTAATAATCATTTCAAATATTATTCATAAGGACAAACTAATGGTAGTGTGGGTCCACCACAATCATTTGTATGCACCCAATTCTAAAATGCATGTTTCAGGACTATGGAATCTTGCCCACCCTCCCATTGCCACCACTACTGCAAGGCTTACTTCTAACAAGTCATTCCTCCAATATCACATTTTCATCAGCCAGGCTCCAGTTTGAAAGTGAATCCAGCTAGGAGATAAATATTTTGGGTGGTAAAAGGCAGGGTGCTGTGGAAGGAGTGTTCTGAACTCCTTTCTTTACTGAGCCAAAATAGGCAAGCTGGTAATGAGATGTAAGTGTTGTTGTAGGGACGCGGGTGGTGCTGTGGGTTAAAACACAGAGCCTAGGGCTTGCCAATCAGAAGGTCGGCGGTTTGAATCCCCGCGACGGGGTGAGCTCCCGTTGTTCGGTCCCTGCTCCTGCCAACCTAGCAGTTTGAAAGCACACCAGTGCAAGTAGATAAATAGGTACCGCTCCAGTGGGAAGGTAAACGGCGTTTCCGTGTGCTGCTCTGGTTCACCAGAAGCGGCTTAGTCATGCTGGCCACATGACCCGGAAGCTGTACGCCGGCTCCCTCGGCCAATAAAGCGAGATGAGCGCCGCAACCCCAGAGTCAGTCACGACTGGACCTAATGGTCAGGGGTCCCTTTACCTTTACCTAAGTGTTGTCGAATCAATTGAGAGCAGTAGCCATAAAGCTATTGTGTTAAATATACATGCAAATCGCTAAGAAAACTCAACATGGTCACATCTGATTTCAAAAGAGGAAACCACCCCGAAATGAAGAGATTGGTAAAAAGCCAAGGGGGTCAAAACTCTCTGAAATGCTTGGGAGTTGTTTAAAAACACAAAATCAGAACTGGTATGCATACTGCAGATCAGAAAAGGTATCACCAAGGCCAAGAATATGCCAGTATACAAGCAGAGTAGAGGAAGCTATTAGAGACAATAAGGTTTCCTAAAAATGGAAGTTTTGAACATGCGAGAACAGAAAGGAACAGAAATTTGGCAAAAGAAATGCAAGCAGACAATAAAGGATGGTAAAATTACATAAAATTTTAGGAGCACATTGCTAAAAACATAAAGACAATCACTGTCAACAAAATCTTTAAATATATTAGTAGTAGGAGAAGGAGAAGGAGAAGTAGTAGTAGTAGTAGTATAGGGAGGGAGTGATAAGGGAGTTAAAGGCGTGCTGAAGGAAGATAAGGTTTGCTGAATGAATTATTTTCATCTGTCTTCACGGCAGAATATATCAGATCCTCCAAGTGTCCCTATTTTCCGAATTCTAATTGGATCCGTGAATGTCCCGCTTTCCCTGCCAGAGCTTGTGGCGGCTATGGGCGCAAAAAAAAATTATTACTTTTTGCAAACAGAGCCAGGAAGTCTGCGCGCGAGTATCACTCTTCACTTTTTCCTATCTCTAGGGACACGCCTGTTCTCGGTACAAAGACTTGCTCTGCCAGCAGAGCCAGGAAGTGTGCACACGAGGATCACTCTTTACCTTTTCTCTATGGTGCTAGCCTGGACTCATCATCCACCGGTGGATCCAAGGCTGCTATCTAGACCTGTCCGAGCTGTGGCATGTCGGTGCCCAGTAAGCTGCCCATGAGCAGGCGGGAAAGGCTCCTTGAGAGGGTCCCTCTCTCTGTCTCCCCTTCCCCTTCCCCCCTTTAGGGTCTCTCGTATACTCTGTGTGCCTCAGTGCCAGGATCCCCACCCCACCCTAGTGCATTAGCCATTCATGGCAGATAAGCTGACTCTATTCTGCAATACTAGAAAGATCTAAGAAAAGAAAGAGCGACCTGCTAGTAAAAATGATCTCAAGCTCTCTCAGTCCTAATTAAAAGTTATTTGTACAATGGAAATTTGGATAGCTAGTTAAAACACACATCTCTCATGTATGGTCAGGGAATGCCCCCCTCCCCATTTTTTTGTGTTAGCAGACTGGAGAAAGTAAGCGCTGGGGCTTGGGAGGGTGGAGAGTGGAAAAAATGGCTGAAGCACTGGGACCCCATTTCCCCCCTAAAAGCTTTGCTCCCTTCCTTTGATCACTGTACTGCTTCAATCTTCATATTGTGTTTCTTTTGGCCACTATGTGACCCCCGAGCCAAGGAGATAAGTAACAATACAAGCTTTAGAATACATCTGAAGGCAGCCCTGTATAGAGGTTTTTAAAAAAACATTTAATGTTTTTTGTTATGCTTTTTTTATAGGTTGGAAGCTGCCCAGAGTAGCTGGGGCAACCCAGTCAGTTGGGCAGGGTATAAATATTATTATTACTATTATTATCAAATAGGATGTCCCTATTTTTTATCGGAGAAATGTTGGTGGGTATGGAAAAGTGAGAGGGGAAATGCAGTGGAAAGCACAAAATAACAGCCAAGTGCTTGCAATGTCATGTAGCTTCTTCGAAAACATATAGGCATGACTGCTCACTAAACAACCCATTTAGAAGCTTTCACTCTTCCTTCTGACTCCCTCTTGAGGCTTATATAGTAGATGTCTGGAGGCTTGCAGCCTGTATTGTCAGCACCAGCCTTATCCACCTGTAGCCCATCCTGGCTGATTACTGGTTGTACTCCTCATGAGCAAGTGGATAGTCTAGGAGCTGCTTCTTCACATCCAGGTCTTCAAAATGTTCTAAAAAGGGTGGTTTGCCTACTGATGGAGTGGGGGAAATGTTTAGCTTTGTTAATGTTCCCACCCATCTTTTTAAACTATGTTGGTGCTGTCTTTTCATATCTATTTCTTCTTGTCAAAAGCCACAGTGCACAGGGGTAAGCAGCCATATTGACCCTGACTCACTTTAAAAGTTGCTTTAAGACATTTGGGCACTGGAAACCCTCCGTAAAGCAACACTTTGCGGCAACTGCTCTTGGAAAGTTTAATGCCTTTCATTCATTTCTATGAAAGGTCTGCCACTTGCACAATCTTCTCAAACACCTTGACAATTCTACAGTGAAACAGACATTGTTCCATTGAATAATTGTGGAAGAATTCATTGATTGCCTCCCACCCTCTTTCCACCTGCCCTCCCACTTCATACATTCTTTATGAAATCACATTCATTCTCTTGGATGAGGAAAGAGAATGACATACAGACTGAAATTGCTTGATAACTACTGCTGAAATGAAAGCCTTGGGAGAATAATCAATAAAAAGGGAAAGGCTGCTTTATTTGGTGAGTCAATGAAGAAAAACACAAGGCAAGCAAAACTAGACAGTATGCCAGTAATGTTAGAGGAAGAGTTTGTAAAGAAAGTCTTGACATTTTTGAGGGACTGAATAAATAGTTTGCTGGACAGCAAAAGGAGGTGGCTTGGAACTTCCATCAGCTGTATGTTTCAGAAGGTATGCTTCTCAACTGCCATTGACGGGAAGCCCCACTGGGCTTGATTGCATTAAGAAGTTACCCATTGGGATGGGGTGGTTTCAATACAAAGTGCTTATGAGTGGACTTCAGAAGGGATATCTCTGCTCACTAATCAGCTGATTGGTGCACAGAGCCAGCCCCTTTAAACTTGTTACCTGACATCATAATAATGTCAGGTGATTGACAGATAGGTGGTCCCACAAGGGTAGGAAGGTTCTAGCTCACCAGCCAGATCCAGTTATGCACTCCTAATCTAGGTGGCAACAAACAAATTTCATTTTACATAACAGTGTTTTGGGGGTGCCAGCTACCTCTTTCTGGAGATCCAATGTGGCAGCAGTGGACTTTGGCTGTCAGTTGGAATATTTTAAGTTCACCTGTGTTCAACCTGTGTATTTGTAAATAAATGCAAATATTACAAAATGCAATAAACCTCCAGTAATCCTTCATTTGAAAGGCAAACACAAACCTCTGGAGCTTGTCACAGCTCAGACAAGCAGAGAGAGCATAACAATATACACAGATTTAATTTATAGAAGTCTAAATGCAATCACTGAGTGGAAGTCCTAGTAATGAATATAACACTAGTAATGAATACACATCTTGATGCACTTCAGTGAGCTGCAGGCATAAAAGAAAGCATTACATTTATCCAAATTATCTCAGTAGTTCTTAGCTGCGTTCTCTTGCAAACATTTAGCATTTTGCACATAGATGAAAGTGCAGCAGCATCTTGTGCTAAACAATGTGCATGGATTGAAGCTGGGACATAGCAGAAAGCTTTTTCCATGTTCACAGACCACTGTATAGATCTCCGAAATGTGTAGATATTGGTAAGAATATTGTCCATTTCGAAACCTTTTTTTGCGTTTGCTATAGACTATTCTAACAATATGTATGAATATTATACTGGTTCAGCAACTTATATAGCGTTTAGAAACACCATTTTATAAACAAACTTATGCGGAGGAGCAACAGAGGAGCATCTTTTTGTATGATACGATCAATCTGTAAATGTTACTCCATTCTAATAAGCTAATCATCTTCATTGCACTTGTGTGCTATAGCCTGGCTGACAGGATTTGTTCAGGAGCCCAGAAAGGATTAATTGGGATTCTAATGAATTTGCACTGAAATCACTCAATTTCACTGCCACTCTACCCTTGTTCTATAGTCCTTCTGCATCACTGTACCCAGTCAGAGGAGAACCTAACCTCTATCTGGGTTAATGAAGCTAGGACAATATAAGCATGAGAACGCAAAAAACTTCTGACACTGTATTTCATAAAATATATATTGCCTATGATTGTTTTTCTATGTTGGCTGAAAAAATATCTGTGTTGCTTTCTCACATCATGGAATAATTATGGCCAGGCTCAGGCTCTGGGATTTTTGTGGGTCAAAGGAAGAGTAAAAGCTTCTCAATAACAGGGTACTGCTCCCAGGCAGTTTGGAGTCCAACAACTCTTTCTTTTCTTCAAATAATTGCTCTTCTTTTGATTTGCTGTAACAACAGATGAATCATTAAGGTCATCCTAAACCTAGCGACTTTGGGCATGGTGACCAGTTGCTCTTTGATATTTTTGTGTGTCACAGTTCTGCTGGCTAATCATCATTAACCTGCCTCCATGTTGACCCAGGTTCTGTTAATGCTCTAGGGAATGGTGTAAACCCTCTAGCCACCACTCTCAAAACATTTCACTCCATAGTGACTTTGTTGTATCAGTTACCATCTCAACATTTCGTCTGAATCTACTCCTACCTATCTAGCAAGTAAGATCTTCCAGTTTCCCAGGCTGCAATGTGATGGTAGAGAAGTCCATTTGTAACTGCGCTTCTCATGCTGACCCCACCATCAGGTGTGGTTTTTTTTAATTAAAAAAAATAGATTTATATACATATATTCACCCTACCAATAGTTTTTGCAAAAGTCACAGACGTTAGCAGCTGTAAGTCAACTGCATTGAGCCCTATAACTGCTTAAATTGAGCTGATATCATTTGTGTTACTCCCAAACTGAATAGTAAGGCCTTGACAGTCTTGGAAAATGAAGCACCCTAGAGGTACGGTTAGGACTGCAGCCTTTGTAAACAGAGCTGTAGTAAGGCTATAGAAAAAATGGCTCAAGCCATAGGTGGCAGGTTTAACAGACAGAGCCTGTTTCTATAGCACTATCTTTTCCTTTCAGAAAAGGTTTCTTAATGGACCACATTAGGGCATGCAAAGGAACTCAACTTATTTCAGCAAGTTAGGGCCACTTCCTTCCAGTGATATGGTTGTTTTTGCTTTTCTCTTTCTGCAGATGGGCCACCTATTGCCACCTTTTAGGCTGCAAATCTGTGCAGTCTAAAAACCCTGTTTAACTCAGTAAGACTTACTTTTTAACTAACATAGCACCCAGTGTTTTAACACCCACATGTACCTTGATGCTATTATTGGACAGATCCCCATCTACTTCGCTTTTCCTTTAACATTCCAGTTATCCTGATTACAAACTCAGGGTAGCTCTAGGCTTCCCTTCCCCTTCCTTTGGTTGTAGTCTCTCTCTTTCTCTCTCTCGCCCCTTCCTAAAACAAGGGAAAGAGGCGGCAAAAAATAAAATAATAAATAAACCTGGGAGAACTGGGACGTGAGAAAGTGCTGGAGTCAAGAGTGGAGGGAACATACAGGGCGTGGGAGGGAGCTGGGAAAACTTCCGCTTTTGTGTAATTCTGCCGGCTGACTTAAAACCGAGGAACACTCCTGGGTTGTGGAACGCGGAGCTCTGCAGCTTTCACCGTCGGGATTCAGTAGGGCTGCTCCTGCTGTGGAGCCCCCGCGTCCCCTTCCTGCATGACCATTGAGATTGACAGTTGCATGGCTGGCGATGCTCTGTGCGCGGAGAGGAGAAGCCCAATGGCAACGGAGGCACGGCTAAGGCGCCTCCCGGATTGCTTCCGGGCACCAGATCTCTGGAAAGCGATGTGCTCCCTAATGGCCAGGCCCCGGCTCTCGTCCGTGGAAGGCGAGGCGTGCCTTGCCCAGGCTGCTCCAATCGCTTCCAGGCAGAGAGGCGGGGACGGCGGGAGGGAGGCGGGTAGGCTGCCTCCGCGCGCGCATACACCCACCAGCTCGCTCGCCAGGAAGGCCCTGCTGGGGCTGCAGCCCCCTTTCTGGGCGTGTGGCTGCCTCCGCCTCTCGGGGAAGGTTATGCACTTGTGATTCCCTTTCTTCCTCCTCCTCCTCCTGCCGCTTCCTCCTTTATGCCAGTGGAGACCCTCTGTGCCTGACTAGCCCATGAGCCTCCTCGGGAGCTACCGGAAAAAGACCAACAATGATGGCTATGAATCTTTGCAGCTCGTGGACAGCAACGGTGACTTCTGCGGCAGCCGGGAGCGAACCGGCGGCGGCGGAGGCGGCGGCAGCATCAGCAAACAAGGGGTGATCCCCGCGGTGGTGGCGGCAGCAGCAGCAGCCCGGAGCCCAGCGCGACAGCAGCACCAGCCGCTCGACTGCAGCACCATGGACAGCTCAGGTAGCGGCTTTAACTTCTTGGCCGGGGAGGGGAAGGAGGTTGTGGGTGATGGGAGGCTCTGGTTACAGCCCCACCTTGCTTCCCAGCAAGATCTGAGAGGCCCAGGCGTGCTCTGGTGCTGGGAGGATGGCAAGGCTGGCCGGGGTCCAGGCCATCCTCCGGTTTCTGAGGCAAGGAAACCTAAGAGGGCCCGGTGTTGCAATTTTAAAGAGCTTTGAAGACCAGCTAATGAGGAAACGTATCCCAGCTGTCACTCTCTTCTGTTAATTGATGGGGAAAGGAGTGAGGAGAGATGCAAAGGAACTGCTGAGGTCAGTGTATTGTTCTCAGGATGTGTGCTAAGTGGGCAGGGGAGTGATGGAGGGAAGATGGCTTAGGTTTCGTTGGCTGGTGGTGTGAAGAAATCATAGTAAACTCAGGGTGATCATTGGAAGAAGGAAAATGTATTTTTCAGAAAGTATTGGGTGCATGTCCAGTTTATCTTATGGCGAATATGCTTAAGAGCAGTTTTAAAAGGACCACATTATAACAGTGGAAAAAGTGCTTTGGGTCATTGTTTAATGGGGGTAAAATACAACTGAATATCAGATGTGGAATAAATGTTGATGTTGTGTTGGAAGTGAAGGCTACTAAACAATGGCTCATTTATTTCTGCAAACAACTATCCTGAGTGGCTTGGCCAAAAGAGTTCTTTTGTTATCTGTAAACGCTAACAAGCATGCTAGTATTGTCTCTAGATCTATTGATAGGGAACAACACAAGAATAAATTAGGAAACACTGCTTTATTGGCAGGTAAATAAAGTTGTGCCTCCTCACAATAGCAAAGGGAAGGAAAGCTTGAATGCAATTTTGCTGGAATGTTTTCTTCATGACCAGTGGAATTAGACTGGCATGCTGCATGAGTTGGGAAACTACCCCCACCCATTGCTAAATCTTCCAATTGTATAGCCAGATGGCTCACAGGATTGGTAATGAGAAGCTATGCACTTCAGGGGTCCTGGTTCAGATTGGCCTGGATTGCTGAGAGTAGTTATTGGTGGATTATCAGCTATGTACTGAAATGTGTGGATGGGTGTGTTCCTTCCTTCCTTTTTTTTTTTTAAAGGGTATTTCAATACTATTGATACCAGCTGTGTTTGCTAACAATTTTATCCATAGCTCTGTTTCATTTCTGACGCTAGCTTCATTTTTCCTCCAGAGAACATCTTCTTGATGTATAAGCAGTTTCCACAAAGTGATGTGCTGCCAGTCCGTTTAAAAATATATTCTCATATCCAGTGAAGTGGAATCCCAAAGCACAACTGTTAGAGTGAGAATATGATAGTCTACAAGAACTTAGTCTCCATCCTTGAATTTATGTGGTGTGATTAACTTGGTTGATATAAAGAGGATTGGACTTGAGAACTGGTTTATTCACTGTCTCAAGGTTGGGGGTAGAATTCCAGATGCTTTACATGATAGAAGAGTAATACACATGATGAACCATATGTCCTGAATTTGGGAGTCCAGTTTATAATACAATACTACTGAACTAATGGTTTATTTTAAAAAATAGACTCCATGTAGGTTTCAAAATGGTAGAAGAAGAACTAAGGCATCTGCCATGATTACTCCTCTTCCCCCAATGAGCTGAGCAGATGTTAAATTGTAGCCTGTGCTGGCTAGGCCTGATGGGAGTTGTGACATAAAGTACTTGGAGGACACCAGGCTGGGGAAGACTAGTATAGTCACACACAATGCGTTACCTCCACTTGGTAATTAGCAGAAGACCAAATCCCAGTTTACATGCATCAGTTCGTTTTAAACAAACAGGTGTGTTTAGTGTTAGTGTGCACCCACAATGGAATAACTTTGATCTAAGAAAACTTTGTCTTGGTCTTGTAGAGGTAAGGAGTATTTTTTCCTAACTGTTACTGATCAGAGAAGGATGTAAGGGGTAAAACTTTGGTTTCTCTTGGAATAGAAGGAGAAATGAGGTCTGTGCAAACTCATAAATTGTGCTGGACTTTCCAGGTACAGTTCAACCCTCTTGACCCTTGCCCATCTTGGCTTTTTAAAGCTAACCATAGGAGATTAATAGGGTCCAGGGAGTGATTGGTGCTTCATTGGAATGGGTGAGGAACCATTTGTCTTGAAGTAGGCGGTGGTGTGTCCACTCTTTAAGAGAACCTCCCTAGACCTGGAATTCAGTGGCAAATATCCTCTTTTTGGAGAAGGTGCTTGAGAGGATCGTTGCAATTGAGCTTCAGACATGCTTGGAGGAAAATGAATGTCTGTATTCATTTCAGTCTAACCTCGGGCCCATTCATGGCCCTAAACTGTCTTGATCACAGTGGTTGATACATTTGTTAGAAGAGAGATGGAGGGGAGTGCAATCCTGTTTATTCTTTTTAGAAGCTTTCGATACCATAGACCATAGCATCCTTCTGGAGGAGCTCAATGAGGTGGTGTTTGAGGGCACTGTATTTCAGTGGTTCCACTCCTACCTCCAGGGTCATTTCTAGAAAGCATTTATGGAAGGCCACTGACATCATTGGAGTTCCCTGTGGTGTTCTATAGGATTCCAACTCGTCCCCCATGCTATTTAACACCTATATGAAGCCCCTGGGAACTGTCACCAGCAGTTTTGGAGTTAAGTGTTACCAATATGTGGGTAGCACTTCTATCTCTCTGTTCCATCTGAATCAAGAGAGGTGGCTGAGGTATGAACGCAATGATGTGGGCCAGCAATTGGAAACTGAAGCATGAAAGGACAAAGGTGTTATGTGTTCCAAGTCTTGAGCTGAAGAGGTTCTGTACAGGGTTGCAGTCCCCTGGAAGGATCAGGCTTGTCGCTTGGGGGTACTCCTCAACCCAGTGAAGTCACCTGAGGCCCAGGTAGCCTCTGTGGCCAGGAGTGCCTGTTTCCAGCTCCAGCTGGTTTGTCAGCTACACATTGTGGGTTTCACCTTGATCTGGTAACTTCCAGATTGGATTATTGCAGTGCTCTCTATGTTGGTCTGCCCTTGAAATCAACTCAGAAGCTTCAGCTGGTTCAAAATGCAGGTTACTGGCTAGGGTTTTCTTTAGAACTCTTGTATAATCCCTATTTTAAAACAGCTACACTAGTTGCCATTTTGTTTCTGGGCCTAGTTCAAGATGCTCACATTAGTGTTGAAAACCCTACATGACTAGTTTTGAGACTACAATTTCCATCATCCCTGACCACTGGGTCCTGCTAGCTAAGGATCATGAGAGTTGTAGGCCAAAAAACATCTGGAGTGCCATGTTTGAGGAAGCCTGCTATAAAGTTTTCAGTGAATGCTGGAGACATACATCTTTACACTGGCCTTTGACAACTGAGAAGTGTGTTTCCAGAAGGCATCCTATTCCTGTGACTATAATTTGTTTTAACAGGTTTTATTACCAAATATCCAGATCTGCAAAACAGATATATTCAACACTATTGTATCGACTCATTTAAGATTAGAGGAGGAGGTGTAACTTACCCTTACTTTGTTGTTTTGTGTAGTCCAGTATTTGTATTTTATAAATTAATTAAATATTATTTATTTTAAAAATAATAGAGAATTTTAAATTATTGTAACCTGCCCTGGGGCTTGCTGGTGAAGGCAGGTAATAAATGTAATAATGCTGATAATAATACAATCCTAGAAAACTTGACAGAAACGAGTGCAAAAGTTGGCTTAATTTTTCATTAAGAGCATTTGCACTGAAATTAAGTAAATGGTAAAGAGGAAAGCCACAGGGGGCAAAGTTTTCAAATACTGAATCTGCAGCTTTGAAATCTAATGCTTTTGAGTTCTGAGGCCACAATCAGAACACCACAAATTAATTGGTGTTCCCTGCATTAAGGAAGAGACACTCCCTTTCTTCCTCCACCCAAGTTCACTATTCTTCTGTGCTCTGCCCATGGGCAAACGTATCTGTAAGGTATAATGTTTTTTAGTATTGCATGTATGTGTCTGTACTGACGTGGTGGGATCGTATTTCTGCAGATCTATAAGCTCTAAGCTTCCAAAGAATATAGGAATCAAGTGTGTTGGCGCTTGATAAATGCCACAAAGTAGTATCCACACACTGGGGTAAAATGAAAGGAAAAACTGAATATAGATTTGTCTAAAGACATATAACATGTCCTATGAACTTGAGGCAGGTAAAGAGATCTTAAAATTAAAATACATATATGCTTCCATTTTATTAGAATATGCTTAGGCTCATAATTCCATGGACCTCTGAGAATAGGCAATTTCAGGCCAGCCCTGGGAGAACCTCTGTGTCTCCTTGCTGGTTATATTTTTTGTCTTGTGCATTCTTGAGATGGCTGAGTTATGATGGAAAACATGACAGAAATCTTTTAATACCTTTTTGTCCCAAGACCATAACATTCTAAATGGCAAATCCAAATACAGTTAATAATAACGTAAGACCCCTTCTGGATCAGGCCAAAGGATTGTCTAGTCCAGCATCTTTTTTTCCAGCAGTGAAAAACCAGATGGCAATGGGAAGCCCACAACTGGGACATGAGGGCAATACCAACTCCCGATGCTGTTCTTCAGCAACAGGATTTCAGAAGCACATTGCCTCTGATCTTGGAGGTAGTCATTTTGGTTCTTTTAAAATTATTGGATAGATTTCTAGTACACTGTTTAGAGTGTTTATTTTCCTTAAATGGCTTACAAGAGATCAATAAACTACATTAAAATTCAAGGCTTGAATAGCAATAAACAACTGAGAAAATTAAAATACAGTAGTAGATAAAATAGTCATCAGTGGTATGCAGCCATCATGGCTAGTAGGCTTTATCCTTTGTGAAATTATTTAATCTAGGTTGGAGGCCATTACCACATTTTGTGACAGTGAATTTAATAATTTAACAACTTGCTGGAAGAAGTCCTTCTCTGTCCTTAGTCTTCTGCCAGTCAGCTTCTTTGAGCGACCCAGTTCTAGTATTATTCAGAGAACAAAAAAAATTCTCTGTCCACTTTCTCTACAGACATAATTCTATACACCACTATATGCCTCCTCTTTTTGCCTCTCTACCAAGCTAAAAAGCCTTGTGAGGACAATGATGCTGTCAGTACAGATTCTAACAGTGCCATCCCATATACTTTGGTTTGGAAGCAAGTTCCATAGAATTCAGTGAGACTTTCTCCCAGGGAAGTAGGTGTAATATTGCAGTTTTAATCATGGGTAGCATATTACTAGAAAACATTGCCATTGAGAGGCAAACCTGCCATGCTATGCACTGTATGAAACTGCAACTGTTTGGCATTTATTTAGTTTTAAAAGTGTGCAATACTAAGCAACAGGTCTAAGAATCGGGAGAGGGGGTTGCCTGTTCTAGATGGGGTCACGCTCACTCTGAAGGAACAGGTATGAAGCTTAGGAATGCTCTTGGGGTCATCTTTGTCCATAGAAACTCAGGTGACCTCAATGGGGAAGAGTGCTTATCACCAGCTTTGGCTGGTATGTCAACTATATCCTTTCCTGAACAGGGATAATTTTGCCACTATGTGTGCCTTCCCTCATGGCTGGTCTGGAGACTGCAGCTGGTGCAGAATGCCACAACCCCAGTGGTGAGTGATGCCTCTCATCAAGCACATATCACACTAGTGCTAAAAGATATGTGCTGGCTGCCTTTAATCACTGAACCAGTTTTAAGGTTCTACTACTAACATATAAGGTCCTGAACAACTCCGAACTATGTTACATTTCCCCCTATGCAGTCTGGTAAGGGCATTAATATCACTTCTAATACATCATGGCTACATTTCTATGTGCATACAAAATACTATAACTGCTGCATGCGATGCATATGCAGGCCTAGCAGGACATAGATTAACCCAACTGCGGCTAGAAATTTCCAAACCCACTTCCTCTATGTAGCTTCCATTGTCTCAACCAAAGTGCCTCTGACTTAGCCTGCTGCAGATTCCTTTCCCTCCATGAAGAGCTTTGTTCCCTCCAGGTATCTTGTGTCTTTCCATCTCCCTTCCTTGCTTTTAGCAGAAAGGCAAGATGGGAACTCAGCCCAGAATGCAAAGAACTACTGGAAACCAGTTCTTTGAGCATCTACCAGATCCTTCAACTGCTTGTTCAATACCTCATGATCAGTGGGTATTAAGGGACTTCTGAACATCAAAAAAGACCAACATACTACAATTATGTCCGCTTCAAATTTACTGTATGCATACTGCATAGCTAGTATACTTTCAAAGTAATCAAAGTAATCAAACTGAATGCACTAGGATAATGAAAAGAGGCATGTTACATAAAACAGATAGCAATTTATGCCTGAATATAGAAGCCATGTGGTGAATATTATACAGTTGTTTAAGCTGCTGCATTTGTTCTGCAATAGCTGGTGTGTGTGGATGCATTGTTCAATTGATCACTAGCAAAAATGCTTCTGACCCCAAACTGCTCCTGGGATAATATTTTTTCCCTGCTCTCGAGATTTTGCATTGTAAGCTATTATCAGTTCTTGCAAACCTTCATGCTTAAAAAAATATACATGAGAATATCTTCATTTTTATTATTTTCATTCATTTCATTATTCTAATTTTAAAAATGTCTATGGTGAGCTACTCTCTGAAATTTATAGGCATTGCATACCAGTTCTAGTACTTCTATGAATTTAATTATCTTCCTTTTTATGATAAAGGCACATGCATATTTCCAGTTTATTACTTCTAGCAATACATCTTCTGCAGGCCTTGCTAAAAATTCTAATAATTCAGTTGTAATAACTAGACAAATGAGAGTATGTAGAAGACTGTACAGTTCTTTACCATCAGCACCCGTCAGATTCTGAACAGGTATGAAAAAACATTTCCACTGATTTCCGTAAAGCAGTGCTGATGACCATAAGCAGATAATTTTTTTTGCCATGGTGTGCTTTGTTTTTTTGGGGGTGCTGGTAGTAGTGATTTCAATATAATTGCTATATGAGGCCCTAGGGGTGGACATTGGCAATCTTTTGTAATGGTTGAAGAGCAACATTTTTGCCTGCTGTAAAATAAAGGCACCAGCTGAGCCTCTCTGGGAAGAGCATTCCACAAATGAGGAGTCACTGCAGAAAAGGCCTGCTCTCTTGTTGCCACCCTCTGGGCCTCTCATGGAGGAGGCACACAAAGAAGGGCCTCAAATGATGATAACAAGTTTTGGGTCAGTTCATATGGGGAGAAGTGGTCCTTGAAATATTGTGGTTCTGAGATGGTTCTGAGCTGTTTAAGGCAGCATTTCCCAACCTTGGGCCTCCAGCTGTTTTTGGACTACAACTCCCATAATCCTCAGCTAGCAAGACCAGTGGTCAGGGATGATGAGAATTGTAGTTCGAAAACAGCTGGAGGCCCAAGTTTGGGAAACACTGGTTTAAGGCTTATAGGTGAAAACCAGCACTTTCAATTGGGCCCAGAAACTAATTGGCAGCCAATGCAGCTTGGCCAGGATTGGTGTAGTATGCTCAAAACCATCTTGCCCTGGTGAGCAACCTAGCTGTTGAATTCTGCACTAGCTGAAGTTTCTGAACTGTCTTCAAAGGCAGCCTGATGTATAACGTGTTGCAGTTATCTAGCTGAGAGGTTACCAGACTACAGACAGCAGAAGTTATGCTATTCCTGTCCAGATAGGGGCACAGCTGGGCCACCAGCTGAAGCTGATGGAAGGCACTCCACCTGAGTCTTAAGCAACAGCAATGGATCCAGGAGTAACCCGAAGCTGTGTGCCCACTCCTTCAGTGGGAGTTTAACACCATCAAGAATAGGCAACCTCCTATCCATCGGGTCTGTGGAACCACCCACTAACAGTGCCTCAGTCTCAATCATCTGGATTGAGCTTCAGCTTGTTGCCTCTCATCCAGCCTATTAGCAAGGCAAGACAAAAGTCCAGCACACCCACTCCCATACCTGCAAATGTAAAGAAGGAGTAGAGCTGTGTGTCACCAGCATATTGCTGACAGCATAATCCAAAACTCTGAATGAGGGAGGTTTTATGTACATGTTAAACAGCATGGGGGATAAAATCAAACCCTGAAGAACCCCACATTGAAGGCTCCATGGGACCAAGGAGCACTCCCCAAGCAGCATCCTCTGGAAATGATCACCAAAGTAGGAAAAGAACCATTGTAAAGCAGTGTTACCCACCCCTAACTTGGACAGCTGCTCCAGAAGGTTACCATGGTTGATAGTATCAAAAGCCACTGAGAGGTTGGGGAGAATTAATAGGGACACATTTCTGCTGTCTCTTTCCCAATGGTGGTTATCATACAGGGTGACCAAAGCAGTTTCTGTGCCAAAACTGGGCCTAAACCCCAATTGAAATGAATCTAGAAATGCAAAATATCACTTTAAATTTGCTTTCTGAAACTTCATAGCTGCAGGGTGGACTATGAGAACAAAGATCCTCTATTTGATTGACAAAACTAGATTCATTTACAAAACACTGACCATTCAATTAGTCCAAAATACCTTCAGACCAGGAAACGTCAATGAAGATAAGACCTTTGGAGTTGGGTTTCTCATAGATTAATCTCAAGAGCTAGCAGTGATCAGCTGAAGTAAGCAAAGTATTCTTTGATTTTCTAGAAGTTAACATCTCTTGTCTTTTTATATTTGCTTTTCAATAAGCCAAGAGATATCTCTGTATCAGTGAAAACAAAATAAACCAAAACAATCTGTTAGACAATGTCTCGTCTGTCTTTCTCCTTTTTTAAAACAGAAGAGTCCATTTCATAAGCCTCTTTGTTTCTAAGAACTGAATAGCACCGCCAGATCGCTTGCACATCTTTTGCCATTGCATCATTAGTGCTTGTTTTTACACAGTTTTGCCCTTGACTGTGTTTCGTATTGTCGTTGTTTAAATGACAGTTCTAAGCACAAATTTAATTGCTTTTTTGCTAGTGAGATAATAATTTGAAAAAGTAAATAAATATAAGATTTTAGTCCACATAAAGCTTAAGTGACAAGCTGATAGAAATGTCAAGGTAATGAGAAAAAGTTAAACATTCCCCCTCCCTTTTTCTATGGTAGGTGAAATCATGCAGGATTATAACTTATTCTGCCATCAAGGCTATTAGAATCAGAACAGTATTTATTGTTATTGTGTTATCTAATTAAGGTCCGTAAACCATAGAAGAATAAAACAACAATGTACAAGGCAATTAAGACTTTCATAAAGGTGTAGATAAGGCTATTAACAGAGGCAGTTATCACAAGCAGCTGCATTGAATTAAAAAAAAATCCTTCCAATGAGATGTTAGCAACTGACTTAGGAAAGCATGCCTGTTACCAAATATCCTAGTCTTATTTCACAACCAAAGTAGCAGTTCTTTACCAAAAAGTTCAGAGTTAACTAGTTTATAACTGATGTACTACATACCGTAATTGTTTGTGGTCTCTGTTGAAAAAGTGGAAAGAAGAATCAATTGCACTAGCTATGCCCAAGAGGCTCTTTGGATCCCGGCTATATTCTTGGCTATGCATAAAGGACTTTCAAATCTGTAGATGCAATGCTAAGCACGTAGAGTGTTATGCAGAGGTGCCCTAGTATTTAGTAGAGCTTTACACTCCCACCCCCAGGTTGCCACTGTGCTGTCTGGTGCACAGCATTGTGGCCAGTATGTTAATTCCAAGGCAGGCTTTCCGCACCTTCCCTGTAAGCATTTGTAGGGGGAATCTGTGGACCCCTGATGAAGAGGCTACTGGCCAGAAACACAACAACAGTTAGCTTTTGGATGCTTGCAAAGGAGGTGTGGAAGAAGAATCTGCCTTGGAATAAATAGCACAAAGGTGGCCCAGTGGGGGACCGAGCACTCCATTAGGGCACCTGCACATACTACTGTGTAACTGTTTAACCCTGTAAGTTCTGATTCTCCTCACAACATCTGCACCCATTTGCTCATTCTTAATTAGCAGCTGTGCTGTTACAAACACACCTTTGTTTTATTTTATTCTTTTGTGTTCATGTCCAAGGATCCATTGCCCATTCAACTCTGTGGATCTGTTTCCTTCTTTGGAGTGAATGGGAATGCTGATGCAGTCATTCACTCAATATATGTGGTGTAGCTTCCACAAAACAAATTGCAGATTGACAAAATGGTTCAAAGAGAGCTGTGCAATGGGCTTTTAAGTAGGGGAACTTGCATAAGAAGAGTGAGAGATGTTAGAATGCTCTCTCTGTGCATGGATATCATTGCACCTGCTATCAGAATTTATCACCGCTGGGTTTCAGATCATAAGAACCCAATGTCTGGATACATGTCAGAGTGTGAATTTCCCAATGTAATTCTGTTAAATTCTCTTTAAATGGGTAGTGTATTCAAATGCTGAAAATATCTGATGCCACAGGCTTAGCCTGTCCAGGGAAGATGGACTGATAAACAGAAATTCTTTTGCATTTGTCAGAGTTGGGCATGGTTGATAGTATGCCTTTGTTCCATTCTTTTAAATGCCTTGCAACTTTACTTGAGACATGTGGTTCTGTATTTAGCAAGCCATGCATTAGTGATATAATGACTCAGATGGGCTTTGTCACATCAACACCTGCCTCTGAAAGCTGTCTCAGGTCCTGCAGTACATCCTGCTGAGCAGGAACCTGAAAACAGGCTTTCCTATCTGAAAAATGCTTCTTTCTGTGATACCCTGTTTCCTGTTGCTAGTCTCTCTCTGTTCCAGGTACATTCACCTCTGATTCTGTCCAGCCCACAGCCCACAAGGAACAGAACAAAACAGTACAGTACAGTGTTTGTTGCAGAACTGGTGCTCCTCATATGTGCCTGGTTTTGTAGTGACCATGCAATGTCATTGGTAGCCTCTCTTTTTGCACCATTTAATCTGATTTTTTGCTTTCCAGGAAAAATTCTGTTAACCTTTCTCCCCCCTAAAACAAAAATTGTAACATTCTTTGATTATGTCACTACCACAGTTAAATAACTCTGATGCATTCTGTTGTTTACCAGAGATTGTGACTAACTTGGTTAGCATTTACATCTCCATTTGCTCGTTCCTAACTGGAAGCTGCATTGTTGCTGCTGATGTGTGCTAAGACCTGGTGCTTGTGGTGGTTGGTAAATCTCCAGCAAAGCAATGTATGTGTGTGTGTGTGTGTGTGTGTGTGTGTGTGTGTGTTGTCTTATGTCTGGTTTTCTTCTTTTAAGGTGCCTCGTCTCCGGACATAGAGTCTAACTATGGGGGAGGCCTGTTAGACATGATGAAAGGAGGAGCAGGGAGACTGTTCAGCAACTTAAAGGATAACTTGAAGGACACTCTTAAAGACACTTCTACGAAAGTTATGCAATCTGTTGCAAGGTACTATGAAACAAAAGCCCTGGAGAGCTCAGCTAGCAAAATAGTAAGCTTAGTAATTATTTCCCTGTCACAGGGAAATAATCAGATTTTAGTAGGCTTGGACAAAGGGATTATTTAGCACCCTGGTGAGATCTTAGGAGGGAAACAGAAAAGGTTGCTGAGAATTAAGCTGAATTCACTAACGCAAAACGTAGAAGCCTGAAGTTTGAATAATATTATGATGGCCCTCAAGTCACTGTGGCAAACTCCAGGAAGTCCATAAGGAAGGCATGGAGCTACTAACTTTCCCTTTCTCTTGTTCCTCCGGCTGATACTCAGGAGCATACTTCTAGATATGAAACAGTTCCCTTTAGCCATCATAACTAATTAGCTATCAATAGCCTTATCCTCTATGAATTTGTCCAATCCTCCTTTTAGAAGCTGTCTTGTGGAAGTGAACCCCATAAATTAACTCTGTACTGAGTGAAGCTTTATTTCTGCTTGTTTGCTCTGAACTTACTGTCAGTCAAAACCACTGGTAGACCCTGAGTTATAGACAGGAAGAAGAACTTCTCTCTAGCCATAAATTATTCACTTTTTGCAAATGAATATCCTCAAAAAGGTTAGTGTAGAACTGAAAAGGGTTCAGAAAAGGGCAACCAAAATGATCAAGCAGATAGGAAAAAAATCCCCTGTGAGGAAAGGTTACTGCATTTGGGGCTTTTAAATTAGAGAAAAGGCAAGAAGAGGTGATATGACAAAAAATTATAAAAGTTTGCATGGTGTGGAGAAAGTATAGAGAGAGAAGCTTTTCAATGAAGCTAAATACTGGATGATTCCAGACAGACAAAAGAAAGTAATTTTTCACACAGTGCATAGTTAAACTATGGAATACACTCCCATGAGAGGCAGTGCTGGCTACAAATTTGGACGCCTAGAAAAGAGGGTTAGAGAAGTTCATGGAGGATAAGGCTATCAGTGGATGCTAACCCCAATGGCTATTATTCTGTCTTTGCTGTCGAATGCCATTTTACTGGAATCACTGTTGTCTTCAGGTCCTGTTCATGGACTTTCCATAGTTATCTGTTAGGCCACTGTGAGAACAGGTGTTGGACTAGATGGGTCACTGGCCTGATCCAGCAGGCTCTTCTTGCATTCTTAACTTGGTCTAAAAGTGTGTGGAATTCAACAGATAAGTAAGGGATTTGTCTGAAAGCTGAGATCTTCAGTATTCAGGCTAGTGGTAACCATGAGCACAAATTCATGAGGCAGCTTCTTTCCTAATGTTCAAAGTGACCCCTGCAGCCACCATTTTCTTGCTCTAAGAGGCCCTTCTGTCATTTTGCTCTTTGAGTCAAATGTACTGAAACAGCAAAGGAACATTTAATATTAGTTGAGTAGACACCATAGGTGGTATCCAACAAAGTAGTTCCCTTAGTGCAAGAATTTCTGTTTGCACAATGGAACTTGCCCTCCCTAAATTTACTCCAGAGGTTTTGGGGAAAACCCAGAACAGATTTAGGGAGCATGAATGAAAAGAAGAGGGAGGGGAAGTTTTCTTGGCTGCCCAGGGATCCTTGTCCTAACCGAACTACATTCTTGGATACTATCTATTGAATTATTTAGCTGCCATTATATGCAGTTGTCTACAAATAAAGACCCAGGATGAGCTTTGTAGTTGTTGTTTTTTTAACTACCTAATTTCTAATATTACAAAATAGCTTGAGATTTTAGACATTTCCAACAGAGTCGTGAGAGTGAAAGGCAATGAATCCCAATTCAGGAATGAAGCAACTGTGGCCATCCCAGGGGTTGGGCTACAACTTCCATCATCCCTGACTACTGTACTTCCTGGTTGGTGTTTATGGGAGAAGGAGACCAGCAACATCTGAGGTCACAGGTTTCCCATCCCTCATATACTTTACTGTTACCTGAAAGAGAGCGAGAGAGAAAGCTCATGGGAACTATTTCTTAAACCACCTTAGGTTCCATGACAGAAGAAAAGGAGGGGTATACATATAAAAATATTTTTTTGGTTCATCATCTCTTAACGCATTCTGGTGCAGGGCCAGTTTAAAATCAATAGCTAATTGACATGAAATATCTTCATAATTGCAAGAGAGAGAGAGATTCAGCTGCATAGTCAGAAGTGAAGTAATATGAATCCAGCAATCAGAGAGGAACCACAGGGGCATAGTGCACCCCCAAAATATGGGGAAATGCTGTGCATTACAAGATGCTGCAGTTGTCTCTTTGCTGAGCAAATATGATTATTACTTTACAGACACAGGGAAGTCTTGTGCATAGGCCTTAATGGGACATGGAACATCTATAAAATTTCTGTTGATTTTGGTGTGTGTATTAACCAGCATTTATTTTCCTGTCTTTTAAAATAGCTACACCAAGGGAGAACTAGATATTTCTTACATTACCTCAAGAATTATTGGTAAGTGTGTGAGTTACTTCAAACAATGAAGCAGTGCTCCATGTAGCAATGCAGCCATGTTAGACTTGTTAATTGTCAATCTTGTATCTTTTCTGGTTTAGAATGTAAACTTACATTTTTCATGTCTTGATAGTGATGTCATTTCCTGGTGAAGGAGTTGAACTAGGATTTAGGAATCATATTGATGATGTACGGACGTTCTTGGATACAAGACATCCTGACCACTACACAGTTTTCAATTTGTCACCGAAGTCTTATCGTACTACCAGGTTTCATAATAGAGTAAGTGACTTCTGCCAGTACTGTGATTTGACACAGACTATCACAGGGTGTTAGCTCTGTTTGTAAGATTAGGCATGTTATCTTTACGACCTTCTCTATGCAAAACAGGTGCTCTACTGGTGAGCTACATCCACTCAAGTTGGCAAGGAAAAAAGAGGTGCCTAAATTATGGAAAGGCCTCTAAAAGTAGAGGTTCAGATGGGTACTTCTTTGCCTGCTTTTAACCAATATCATAAGACCATGTTATTCTGATGGACTTATATTTTTGGATGGAGCCTGTATTAAGTTTTTGTTTGTTATTTGCTGATATTTATATGGTGCTGTCTTACTGATATTTGGCTAGTTTGTGTATTGTTAGGATACTTATTGTTAGACTGTTATATGCTTCCATTAAAAAATCCCCTTGGAAATAATGTGGAAATGAGTGCTTAACTTGTGCTGTATTCTACTATAATCCACTATAATTCTGGAAGTAGCTTTTACATCAAGCTGCTTTTATATAATATGGAAATTAGATTTTAGGGAAGTGTCATGAAAATGGAATAAACTGCCATGTGAATGCAGCTTTTGAGAACAATGGCAGGGCCTAGCCCCAAGCTGGATAAATACACTTACTGGAAACAAATACCATTGAGACTAATGAGGTGTACTACCACAGAATAATGTGGGTGCATGCAACCTGGAATTTTGTAATAGATTGTGGACAAAATGCTAGGGACTAGTGTATACTTGATACAAAGAGCACTTATTAGTCAAGCATGCAGGAAAAGTAATGCATATTTCAGAAGAGCTACTTTAATTATTATTTAAATTATTTAATTATTATTAATATTATTTAAAATAGTTTTAGGCAGTTTTTCTGGGCAAAGGCCCACCCAGTGTATCTTCTTCACTGTTCATTATTCTGTATGTGGTGTTATCTAAATTTGCACAGACAGTTCTTTTGCTGCAGTGCAAAGAATGGCTGGCACTTATATTGTTGTGCCTCAATAATAGAAGAAAGTTCTTGTTCATGGAAACTCATGTATTAGCTTAAGCTGCCTTAATCTTGTGGCTTTCAGTGAGATGTAAGCAGCCCAGTTGTACACAGAATTGCAGCCACTGTCCTTAGTTGCCACAGGTCTCTTTGCAATTATATCAATTTCATTTGGTTAGCGACCTCTCTCCCTTTATTAAATATATTGTAATTTTCAAAGTAGTATGATTGTTTTTTTAAAAAAGCCATGCCTGAAAATTTTGTTTTTAATTCCTGAATTCTGTAATAAATTGTTACTGTTAACTGGGTAGCTGCTGAATTATTGTGTGCTATGCAAGCACAGTACTCAAAACACTAGGGCTGCATGCATACACACCATACATTTTAAAGCACAGTATTATTAATATTATTGTTGTTGTTTCAACAAGTTATATACAGTTTAATTTACAATCATCTCTAAGTGGTGTGCAGAAGATTAAATAATTTTTTTTAAAAAAACTATTTTAAAAAAACTTCAACTAAAATGCTTGCTGGAATAATAAAAAAAGTCTTCAGTGGATGCCTGACCTAAACTGGAAATTTGAAACAAAATTTGACCCACAACACTGAATGCACAGCTCCTAAGAGATATGAGCTGTGCACCCAAGCCTTGGGGGACCATTAACAGTGACTCCTCTGAAGACCTCAGTGATTAGGCAGGAACGTAAGGTATCAGGCAATCCCTAAGGTATCCAGGGTCTGAGGGCCTTGTAAATCAGTGTAGGAACTTCCACAACTTCTTCCAAATTATTCTGGGAACTGTCATTTGTTTAGGGCAGGTATAGGCAAACTCAGCCCTCCAGATGTTTTCGGACTACAACTCCCATCATCCCTAGCTAACAGGTCCAGTGGTCAGGGATGATGGGAGTTGTAGTCCCAAAACATCTGGAGGGCCGAGTTTGCCTATGCCTGGTTTAGGGTGCTGGGAATTTTAGCTGTGAGGGAAAAACTACAGAAAAGACTTGAATCTTTTCTTTCTAAACCATGAATTTTTATGTTTGCTAAGCAACCTTTTGTTTAATGTTTGAGAAACGTGCTTAAAGGGGCAGCTTGTCCATTAAAATGAATGGAGCAGATGACCTAACATGTTACTATGAAATTTCAAATTAACCTTTCCTTACTTTGTGACTTCTTTAGGTATCTGAATGTAGCTGGCCAATTAGACAAGCACCAAGTCTCCATAACCTCTATGCTGTATGTAAGAACATGCATAACTGGTTGCAGCAGAATCCCAAAAATGTTTGTGTCATCCACTGTATGGTAAGTCAGGCAGTAAGTAATCACTTTTCAAGAAAAGTCTGATCACAAAACAGCTTGTTTATAGAGGAACTGAGAAACTGCTGACTCATTTTTAAAAGCTCATGGTGGTGTACAATAAAGTGTGTATGGTGGTATCCAATTAAGTCATTTGTTGTCAGCGAAATTATTTGATTGTGGTGCCCTAAATATTTTGTGGTTCTTCCCTCAACCTTCTAGAGCAGATTTGGGGAGGGTGCACAAAGTGAGATAAAGGGGGGGGGAGTTGTGCAACTGTAAATCCTTGTGCTGACAGGACCTGTTGGTTGGATTCTGCCTGCATATATTTATTTTTAAAGATCAATTAATTATGGATAACTTTTTAGTAAGCCTAATTGATTAAAAGTCACAGTCTTACTAATATGCTTGATTCTGTACCCCAACAACAAAGCCAAAAAGAGGAATAAAAAGGAATATCAATTCCAGCCTGTCAGGGACACAGAAGTACCTTTCTGAGTAAATCTCAGCTGAACAGAAGGCTGATTCATGGGTTACTGAGCCAGTGTGGAGACAAATAAAAACTGTTTCATTGTGGCATTGCTACAATGTTGACAAGCTTCTTGCCACATCTGCCTACTCAATTGCATGGAGAGTCTCCACACTAGAGCCACTACTGTAGTTGCTAGGGAAATGTAGTGCTGGTATGGAGGCTGGAAGATGCAGTAAGAGGTTTGCTGATGGTTTAATAGAAACAGTTTTTCATAGACTCTGTATTGGTCCTCAGAATTAATTGTGTGGATGTCACTGGCTTATGAGTTGTATCTTTACAGTGGTTTGGGAGCATTAATGGTATTTGCATTCAATTGCTACTGTATGAATTTAGTATTAAAGCCAGGAAGCTTCTATCTTGAGAGAACCTTGATCAAATAATGTTGTATGCATTACACAGAAACTGGCAAACCTTCCCCTCTAATTAGCCTGATAGATGCTCTTGTGTTTTATTTGACAGGATGGTCGTGTAGCATCAGCAGTCCTGGTCAGTGCAATGTTCTGTTTCTGTCATCTCTTCTCTAATCCAATTCCTGCCATTCAGTTGTTAAATTCAAAGAGACCTGGAATAGTACTCTGGCCATCCCACAGAAGGTAAGTTTTCCTGACGGACCAAATGTCTAAACACGTGAAATGTGACTTTCCATTTCTTTATTTCTTGGAGTCAGATTTTATTCAGTTCCACCCTTCCTGTCTGTTTAAAGCTATGTATCTGCACTGAAATCAGTGGGAATTCATTTTATCCAGTCACTGACTGGTTGAAGGCAGATTGGCAACAGTTCAGCAAAACAAATGCTTTCAGCTAGGGCTTCAATGATCCCACTGGGTTCCTAAAGCTGCATTCCAAAACACAAGTATTCCTAAACTGCTTTGGTCCCGTATAAATTAGACTGTTCCAGTATAAGTGGGAGTAATAATTTTTAGTCATTAGTAATCTCAAGCCCTGGATTTTTGACAATCACAAGAGCTTCAAGACTTTAAAATGTGGTATCCCTACCACAAATGAGGAGCTGTAATCCAGCAGCATTTGGAGGGCCACAGGTTCCTGACCCCTATTCTGAACCTTAAAGGAATATTAACTTAGGACCTGTTTTTACACTCAATTGGTAGTAGTCCTGTTGTCAGGGGAGAGAAGAGCCAAATCCTTTTGCAGCTTTCAAACAGAACTGCATCAGGGATTGCATCTGTAAGATGCTTATGTTATACTTGCTTTCTCCTCATGGGATTTTTGCCCCTGAGATCTCTAATCTTATATTTTAAAATTAGACACAGCATTCCTGTTCCTTGACAGCAGGATTTCTACTATTGAAAATACTAGATTCTGCAACTTGAGGAACCCCAAATACTTTTATAGAGTTAAAGGATGCAATTATTATTATTATTATTATTATTATTATTATTATTATACCCTGCCTATCTGGCTGGGTTTCCCCAGTCACCCTGGGTGGCTTACAGCATATCAAAAAACATAATAAAAACATCAAGCATTAAAAACCTCCTGATACAGGGCTGCCTTCAGATGTCTTCTAAAAGTTGTGTAATTCTTTACCTCCTTGACATCTGAAGGGAGGGCGTTCCACAGGGAGGGCGCCACTACTGAGAGGGCCCTCTTCCTGGTTCCCTGCAACTTCGCTTATCCCAGTGAGGGAACCAGCAGAAGACCCTCAAAAGAGGACCTCAGCAAAGCAGTAATATGAATGGACCCCTCTTAATTATTTTTCTCATTGCAGGTATGTAGGATATATTTGTGATCTAATAGCAGACAAACCTATTCAACCTCACTGCAAGCCTCTAACTATCAAATCAGTCCTCTTCAGTCCAGTGCCCTGTTTCAACAAGCAGAGAACAGGCTGCCGGCCTTTCTGTGACATTCTTATTGGAGAAACCAGAATCTTCACGACCTCCCAAGAGTATGAAAGAATGAAGTGAGTGACACTGTGTTTACTTAGAATACCTCTGCACCCATATATACAAAGCAGGGGAAGGAGCTATCTAGAGCACACAAGTTACTTATGCCCCCAGGCACCAGTAAACATGCTGGTTGTATCCCCTGGTTGATACGTGATCAACACGAGTCTGAAATATAGGTATGGGTATCTGCCTGGGTCTGTGTCAATACAGCTGTGGCTATTTGAACGGGAACCAGGATTTCCCAATGCATATGTGTGTAGCGGCTTCCTATCTTCACACTGGCTCTTATCATACATGAACTGGGAAGTACTGCCACCATACATGTTGGCCATGTTCTGGATGAGCCCTTCACACATTGGGCACCTACAGATACATAATGTTTAAATAGGGATAATGTTTTGCCTCTGAAGTTTGATTTTTGTACTATGGACTGTTTCAAATTCTGTGCATTTTCTGCATAGAGTATATTTGTGGATGTTGGAATAGGCTGTAGCTTGTGCTGTGAGAGAGAAGGGAGGTAAACAAACCAGCCAAACCAAGACTTCCTTCTTGTTAACTGGCCCAACCTACTCCTTCTACTGGGTAGAGTGGTACAGTACTTGGGTGTGGGTTAAGCTCACTGTGAATTTTGTTTTGACAGTTCTGATTAATATTACAAGAGTTGTAAAGTAAAAGTTATTTTACTTTTCTTTAGGGAATTCCGTATTCAAGAAGGAAAAGTTGTAATTCCGTTAGGAGTCACTGTCCATGGCGACGTAGTGGTTTCTGTCTACCATATGCGATCAACTATTGGGGGACGACTTCAAGCTAAAGTATGACTTGATGCATTTGTTGAATGTAAAGCTAACCAAGTGGGGGTGGTTAGCCAACTCCAGATTCTTTAATACTGTGGTGAGGTTACAGTGGGATGTCAAAATCGAAAGACACAATGAGAAGATCAAAAGCAGCTGCTGAAGTCAAATCACAAAAGGGAAGAGACAACTGAAAAAGAGAATGGTTTCCGGATGTTTTTCAAGACATTCACTTTATCAAGGGAAATTTATTCCAATACTTTGGGGGTAATGCTTGGTACTGCTCTTCTTTCAGCTCATCTAAGCAGACCAAAAAGAAAACAGATGTTCCCTTTCTGCAGTACACAGTTCTGCACCCAATTTTTTTTTAAAAAAACTGGGAGATATGGAAGCAAAATAAGAATGAGGCAGTGGTGCTACTTATTGAAAGATGTTTGGTAGTTTGTCTAATAATATTGCGGAACAAGTATTGATGTCACTTTAGACTACAGTCCAGTTCAGAAACTTATGGAGAAACTTGAACTGTCTTCACAAAGTAATATCCCTCTATGTGGTGACAACAACACATAAATTCTTATTATGCATAGTCCATTCCCTTTCCAAAAGGGGTGGACAGATCATGCTGAACTAAGTCAGAATTTATGTTATTACTGATAACATAAAAGTTATAATAATTCTATATTGTACAGAATAATTCTATACCATGAGCAGTATGTTTCATTCGTGTCTTAGTCACATGAATATTAGGAGGGAGTGCCATCATGTTTTATGACTCAGATATCATTACATTTTATGTACTCATGGTAAGCAGGGCAAATGGGCTTCTGTTTCTACCCCCACTGTAAGAATTGAATGCAATAGAAAGATCCATATTTCCTAATCCTGATCCAAAAGTATGCAATATTTTCATACTTTGTTATAATGAAGAATTTGAATTTGCAAAATAACTGTTTAAGCCTGCTACAGACTAACCTACTAATACCTGCATACTATACACCAAATATTTTATTTTTGTGAGGGGGGTTGATTTTAAAATTGTGTTTTAATGTTTTCTTTTAGATGACGAACACACAAATATTCCAGATTCAGTTTCACACTGGATTTATAGCCTTGGGAACAACGGTATTAAAATTCAATAAGTAAGTATCTCATGACTAGAAATGATGTTGTGTTCTGAGTAGTTAGCTGCATATGGATTATTGCAGCAACACCCATAAGTGTTGATATGCAATCAAGCGACACCTATTTCAATAGAAATCTCAGGAGTTTGAGTAAATGAAGCATGTAGTTCCCTATTTATCTTAATATAGTTCATTGCAAAAGCAATTCATGCTTTTAAAATCTCTTTAGCAAAGGTTGTAGATACTAGGCCGGGCATTCTCCTGCTTCATCCCATGATTTCAGGCACATTGGAGTTTTGTTTCAAGCAGAAGGCCTGCATAGGTCCAGAAACAAAATCCACAGAGAAGCCTGTATACTTAACTGGTTGTCATAGATCTACCTAATAATGCAACAAAATTATGCTCCTTAATTAAGGAATATTCTAAAATAAACTAGAGAAGTCCTGCCTTCTAGACACTGTAATTTTGCTAGTGAGTAAGATGTTCTGTTCCCTGGCATGAAAATGTTCCACTTCTCCTAGTAGCAAAATAGGATGTGTTTGAAGTTAAGGTTGAGATTAAAACTCATATGTGAAAATTCTTAACTTTCTCTCCATAGTATTTAATTGTAAAGCCCAAGGGGCCATTATGCTCTAAATTTATCCCTCTGCTCCAGGGCAGGACCATCCATACAAGTCATGTAGATCATGACTTGAATGTTTAAAACACAAGTGGTCAGCAAGACTAAGCAAGGTACATTACTCCAGGTGTCTGTAAAGTAGGCAGGTTAAATTAGCATCCTGTGAACCAGCCCCTGCATGTGAGAGCCATAGCAGATAGCTGCTCTCATCTTTGCAAAGCCACCATAGAAGCTAATGCCAGTTCTTTCAGCCACGGCTCTCTTGTTTTGCCTGCTGCCTGAGGAAGCCAACCTCTGTTATGATGAGCAAGGAGACAAACACTGGTAGCAACAGTAGCATGCCTGCTAAATGGGCTAAAACAGGGATGGCTATGGCAACAGCAAGAACTTTATCTGCTACATCTAGCCCAAGGCTTCTATACATGTTAGAGCTGGTTCAAGATTTCTGAAGTAGCAGAAAGGAGCCCTTTAATACAACTCTGCTCACTGAGGCACAACATGTTTTGAACTAAAATAGCTTTTTATCAGGGAGAAAGTTAAATGTGAATCAACTTTCATTTTGCATGCTCTAAAATAAAAGGTAGGTGTCATGGTCATGTCCCTGTGGATCACTATTAAATACTCCCTGAACCCATTTGGACTAGAATTACAAATCCAAACTATCCTCTTCATCTGCAATCAGAAATTTCTTCTGAGATTTTAAATAATTCAGATTGAGAGCACAAAGTAAAAAAATCCACTAAGGTAATATTTTGTCATTGCTCCTGTCCACTAGGATGTCACACTCTGTAAAACTTACTTTACATATATAGAATGCGACATATTTCAGCCATATCAAGTACTTCTTTGTGCTCATCCTATGCAGGCTCAATATTTGATTTTAACAGGATATCTTCAAACTGTTTTATTTTAATTTGAAGAACTTTCTGTCAATGTTTAGACCTGAATTGGATGCATGCGACTCATCAGACAAGTACCCCCAGCTGTTCCATGTCATGTTGGAGATAGAAATAGATTCTGCTGATAGACAGACTGATCTAACACCTCCATGGGAAAACTTCACAACAAAAGATATCAACCCCAGCATTCTTTTCTCATCGCACCAGGAACACCAGGACACCCTTGCCTTGGCAGGTAAAAGCTCTATAGTTTTAGTGCTGCAGTTTTGACTTTAATGAAAATGCCAAAGTTGGCCATTTATTTCACACATTTTTGGTATGCCTTGACGCTTTGTACATTATAGGTAGAGGTCCTGTAGATGCGCCACAAGATAACCTGAAGAATGTGGGGCAGGGTGCATTCTTGTCATCTCTCAGCTGGCAAGGTATGGGTAACATATCTTTTCAGAACTCATAATTCACATACTAGTTTTCTTCTATCCCTTATCTCATTTCTTGTCCCCAAGGAGCTCGGGAATGCTGTGTTCACATGGCCCCATGGCAAGGCATAAGCATTTTCTTGACTCATAGGAAATAACTGGCCAGCATATAGACATGCATAGTATTCATAGGCTCATCACACTTCATAGAGCTTCTGGCCAAGTTCTCATGACAGGCTTATTTTGTGCTCATCATTGCAGTTGACTGTAATAATGTCCCTTGGAAAATCAATGTGCTGTCAGCACTGTGTGTTTCCAATTTTGTGTTTAACCCAAAGTACTTGGGTTAAGTGTAAACGTTGCTATTGCTGGTAGTGTTTACTTCCACATGTGGGGTGTGTGTGTGTGTGTGTGTGTGAGAGAGAGAGAGAGAGAGAGAGAGAGAAGGGGTATTTCCCCCCTTTGTATCTAGCACTGGAGGATCAACAGAACTACTAGCTAATCTTGAGCTTCTTTTGGCCACTTAGATCAAAAACTGGAGAGAAGTAGCTCTCATCCCAGCTCTGAGGACCGGGCGGCACTGGTGCATGAAGAAAGTGAGCAGTCAGATGATGAACTCTTATCCCTCTCCAGTCAGCATAGTAACACCAGCAGTGACAAAATCCACGGGGCACCAAAGCATACCAAGAAGCATCAAGAGCCACCAGGTCCACCACCCCCAGAGGATGTCGATCTTTTAGGCTTGGAAGGCAGTCCTATGAGCAAGAACTTCCCAGCAGCACCTGCCGCACCACCCTCAAACTCAGACTTGCTGAGTGATCTCTTTGGGGTTGGTAACTCTGGAGGACCAAATCAAGGTGGACAGTCGGCTGTTGAGGATGTATTTCAGATGGGTGGCACTGGATCCACACAATCCACCCCACGACGGTCTGCAGCTTCAGCATCCCCATCTCTGTCCCCAAGAGTAGGAGAAGGTAAAAACTCCTAATTGTGACACTTAAAAAACCCAAAACCTTCTAAAAAATTTTCTTGGCAATCATTTCTAAATAGGATTCTCTTTCTACTAGGAATGGGGGAGAAACTCAGTTCAGTTCACATTTGAAATGCATACCACATGCATATATTGTTAACAATAACATACATGACACTAGGGGAAATGTGCAAAAATAGTATCACAAGAGAAATGTGAACTAAAAGGATGGCAAATATTAATGAGGACTTTTAAAAAATGCAAATTGATGTGGCAAAGTGAACTTAAGATTGTACAAACAAACCCTTAAACAACTGCAGAATTCTAAGAAAGATAAATGCTGTTTTATATTAACAGTTACTTGTCTGAAGCGCGGTAGCCTAAGCTGTCAATTTTAGTTTCTAATTTTTACAATCAAGATTCAGATAGTATTATTTCATGATTATTAACTTGGAGTAACCATTGGCTTGGTTCTGAAAATTTTTAATGGGAGAAAACTTTCTGCGTGTTTTCAAATTTGGGAAATTTCCTCCTGCCCTTGGTGCTCCTGTGATGTCCCATCCCCCACTTCTCAGGAAAGTCTCCTGACCCAGGTGAGAACCTTTTTGCTGGGTGCAGGAAGTTGGAGATGTAATGGGAGAATGAAAAAGTCCCCTTCTGTGAACTCCCTTCCATTCACAGTTGTGAGAGCTCAAGCCTTTGTTTATGAGAACAAGAAATTTCTTGTTGTATCAGTCACAAATCCTTTATTATCTCAAGTCATTCTGGTCACTTGTTTTCTGTAAGAAATTCTGAAATCCCCCTAACAAAACAGCCATGCTTATAATTTACCTGATTCTGTTTCAGCCCCATAGTGTATGCCAAGGAGGCAGTGCATGTTGTAGCTGCCAGTGGAACATGCTGAGTTTTTAGCACGTAATCACAACTGCCAGCTTGCTTCTGATTGTGACAGCATGCTAAATGCCTATCCTTCCTTAGCACATGCTGGCAGCAGTCATATGTCATCCCCTCACCCCACCCCCAACACTGATTGAGTGCTGTTGTTGTCAGTGTTTTGATCCAATAGCAATTGGGCACTGCAGGGGGGGGGAATGTGCCATATTTTTCCACGTTTACGTGCGTTGCAACAGGAACCATTTAGAATTTGCTGGTTTTTATTAAAACTCATCACATTATTCTGTCCTTAAAAATGAAAAACCTTGATAAACAACTATTGGTATGCAGTTAAAGATGCCTGCATAGTCCTAATAAATGCATGAATTTCAGTCCCTGCCCATACTTCTATCAAAGTTTATTTGCTATCCTCACAGACTTGCTTCTGTCCCTTTAACAGATTCTCTTTTCTTCTCTTTCTACCTGGCTCCACTCCCCATTTTCCTAGGCTTCTGTTACCTCCCACTTGCCATCCCACTCCTGCTCTCTTCTCTGCTTTTTAGCCACCTGCCTTTTAGCACTATGCCTATCCCAAATTTTCTGATGATACAAAGCCCCTCCTGTTTCTTGGTCCTATGTGAAACTTTCTTCCGTTCAACCTGATTCTGAACATCTGTCACAAAACCTGCTGTGCACTGACATTACTGACACATTCACCTTGAGCTGACAGAACACCTGAACATGGCACCACAACAGCTCAGGGGCACCTTCTGGGTACATAAGAAGCAACATGCATTTTAAATGCTTCCTCTTTGTGTCAGAATTGCTGTTCCTTAAACCTTCTAGCCTCTTAACTAAATTTAGAAGATAAGAAGAAATATCTTAGTTCACAGTGAACACAAACAGAAAGGAAACATGAGAAGAAAGTACTGAAATGCTAAAAGTGAATGAACTCACTGAACTTGTGTGCTAGTGAAATTTATGTACATTCTGGAGGAAACAGTTGGTATAAATGAGAGAGCTGCAGAACATAACGAGAAAGATCCAAATGCAAATCAAGAGCAAACTTGCCTATTGCAAGGAGTTACTGCCTTCTTGATTGTTTTTTTTGGTTGCCCGAGTTGAAATTTAAACACACTCCCATAAACTCTCAATTTCACATGCGTGTGGAAGAAGGTTGTCACTCTCGTTTCAGCCTCTCCTGCTCCTTCCTCCGCCAGAAGATGGAGCAATGTAATCAATACCTCTACACGAGTCTTTGTCTTCTATAGTTCTTGATTTGATGGCAAATCCTTAATCTCTTCCCTAATTGTATCCTATTTTTATGTACAAAACAGTTAGGAGTAATATGGGTTTGCTCTGGAGTAAAGGAACACAGCTTAATAGTGGACTTGGGGTGAATGGGATACACGTTTAATAGAACAAATATGTTGTTCTTGCAGCAGCTGCCTTTGACCCATTTGGCAGTAGTCCCAAGAAGCCTGCCCCTGATCTTCTAGGTTCTTTTCTTGGTTCATCAAATGCCACCACTGATCCTTTTCTTCAAGGAGCACGGAGTCCTTCACCTACTGTTCAAGGAGATCCTTTCAATATGGGTAGGAAACATTTCAAATGCCCACTCTTTTGTTTTTGAATAGAAGTTTAGTGGTGATAACCATATCTTCATACACTTGCAGATTATTCATAAGGTCAAATAGTTTCTCTTCCAGTTTCTTAAGTGGTTAGTGGGCCTCAGATATACAATACTAAGATATGATTTTCATGTTTTGACGTTAACAGCAACAAGCCATGGGCTCCGAATTGTTCACATGCCAAACAATATGAAATTGTTTGATATGAGGAAGTTTATTGGGGAGACTATATTCTTTTCCATAAAATTTGAAAAAGACTGAAATCCTATATACACTTATGTAGGAACAAACACCATTGAACTCTGTAGTGCTTACTTTAGAATGAACACATGGAATATGGTTGTGTGGCATCAAAAAGCATGTCATTATGAACTGTAGGTCTAGATGGGCTGGGTTTCTCTGAGGGCTACAGTAGAACTTTTCTCCATTTTAAAGCATAGTATAAGTGCATCTAAATTTTCCAGCAGGCTGCAAGCTTAATCTAATACAGTGGTACCTTGAGTTACAAACACCTCAGGTTACAAATGCTTCAGGTTACAAACTGCACTAACCTGGAAGAGTTACCTCGAGTTGAGAACTTTGCACCAGGATGAGAACGGAAATTGTGTGCCGCTGGCGCAGTGGCAGCAAGAGGCCCCATTAGTGAAAGCACGCCTCTAGTTAAGAACAGTTTCAGGTTAAGAAAGGGCCTCCGGAACGAATTAAGTTCATAACTAGAGGTACCACTGTATTAATATCCAGGCTTGGAAAATAGCATGTACTAATTTCTGATACAATGAGTAACCAATGCACCCAGTATTCTGTCAAAACTATGAATATAGTGAAATAATGTGCATCCAGAATTACTGGAAGGACATTTCCTTAATTTTGATAAACAATGTATGTTAATAGGCAATTCTCTTCTTGTTTAGCTTCTTCTAGTACACCATCTGTTTCCATTCAGCCAGATGTTTCAGGTGATTGGGAATGGCCTAGCAAATCAGGTTTGTCTGAAACTAGTTTCTAACTTGTTTAAGATGATTTGCTATGTGACGTTCATTCCTATTGGCTATGAACAGTGACACTTTCCACTAATTTCCAAATAGTCCACTTTACATTAAAATGAACCTATGTGATGAGGTAATTGCACAAATGGTGCACTTAAAATAACCACTAATGGTTATTTTAAATAAACTTATCAAATTCATTTGTTCTTATTTGAACATAAAACATGCACACCAAAGATACCAAGAAGATTGTATCTCTGGTCCAAACTAGCTATGAAGTTAAATGTGTCTTTGTATTTAACATGCATTAAAAACAATGCAAATAGCCAATGGTTGGTGCTTAATAATTATAATAATTATAATAATTATAATTAAAAACATCAGGGGAGAGGAATTTAACCCTTTCCTCACCTTTTGCTGTCCTGATGAACATATGCCTTCTGTGGCTGCTGTTTGCATTGGGAATAAATCCCCCATTGGTTTAACCTCCCTTTTCCCTACCTGTTGTGATCCCAATAATCATCACCCTCCACAGAAGCTGCTATTTGCATTAAATATGTGCACATTAAATGCAATGATAAATTTGATATCGTCTATAACTTGGCCCTCAGAAACAAAACATATAACGCAGAAAAAACTAGTCTAAGCTTTAAGCAAGAACTACTCAAATTTGTTTTAAAAGTCTGAGCAAAATGTAACATTTTTACACACAAAGATTCCCAACTCTCTTTGTGCATGCCTAAACATGGCAAATGGCTTGTATGCTATTAAAACTGGCATATTATTCATACTGCTAGCTACATTTACACAATTGTCAAAAGCCACTTCATAGAACATGAACGAAGTTAAAATTCTTTAGTATTTGTTCATTTGATGGCAAAATTTAATGAGGGTGCAGCCTGAGAAATTGCCACCACTGGTGAGTTTTGCCAAAAGTTATTTGGGTCGCAGCAGGAACACCTTCAATGCTCTGTTCAATGTATCTTCTTGTGTGAATTTTGTACTTATCATTTATCTCTAAATTACACGTCTGCTGAGGTGTCCATGTGTTGAGCTGACCAACTGATAAGCAGCAGCAATCTTATATTAATTTTGTATCTGAGGTCATTAAATTATATTTTATAAGCGTTCTCTTTTTTCTTCTTAGGTGGTCTACGTATGGGGAGCAAATCAGCTGCTACCAGCCCTACAGGGTCACTACACAGCACACCTACACATCAAGCCAAACCACAAACACTGGATCCTTTTGCTGACTTGGGAACTCTTGGTGCAAATCTGGCAGGTTAGATTAAACCTGAACATTGTCCATGTTTTTGGCTACCCATTCTACTCAATCAGATGTGCATTTTTACACTAGGCAATGAAAGGGGGACCACATTGAATTGCACAATGGAGCAATTAACCACTTGCCTGCTTCTCTGGAATGAATAGCCCTTGCAAACCCATCCATGGCAGGCAAGCAAATGCTGTAGAACTACATAGGTTGATCCTGTGATCCTGACATATTATTGCTGCATATTCAACTTGTTATGCTTTTTATGAAGCAGAAAGAGAGAGAAAAGGCAGGCTGATCTGAGAAAGATGGTAAAAGCAGGCAGATTCAGTGGAGGAGAGCTTTAAAATCTGTTTGCAAAGACTGGCAGATTTAGAAGACAGGATCTGCTCCATCTCTTGAGTCAATTAATACAGATAGGTAGCTTGATTAGACTTTCAATAAAATGTTGTATTTAATATGAGTGAAAGGCTACTATTTACCTTTGCCTGATCCCACCATAGTTACCATGAGAGAACCACATTGTGGGATGGCATGAAGTAAAGCTACGCTTTCAAGCTCTCACCTCTTTTACACATTCAACAATGGTTTTAGCAGTACTACAACAAAGCTTTAAAACATACACATTTGTGTTGGATCTGCTGAGACTCATGATAAACTGGCTATGTATCTTAAATATGGTTCTGTTCAATTGAATTTGAAAAACCCTTAATTTGCATAAATAACTCCCATTGGGCTTTTACAGTCTTGATTAGCAAACAACAAGGATAGAGCAGGTCAGGAAGGGTGTTGAAGTAAAGAAGGCCATAGAGACATTACCAGTTGAGCACTGAAGGAATTGTCCAAGCCTGCCTGTCTGTTTCAGCTTATGTGGATCTTTCCCCATTGCTTTAAAATTCTCACCAGTCCCCCTACCCTCCAAAAATGCTTTACATTTACAGCACACAACATCCTCCAAAGAATCCTGGGAACTGTAATTTGTTAAGGGTGCTGGGAATTATAGCTCAGTGGGGGTCAAACTACAGTTTTCAGGATTCTTTGGAGGATGTTGTGTGATTTAAATGTATGCTGTGGCATGTGACCTGAGTCAGACCATGGTCTATATCAACTAGCAGCAACTCACCAGACAGCAGGTATTCCCAGCCCTATCTGGCGATGCCAAAGAACAGGGGTCAGCAACCTTTTTCAGCCATGGGCTGTTCCACCGTCCCTCAGATCATGTGGTGGGCCAGACTATATTTTTTTTGGGGGGGGGGAATGAACGAATTCCTATGCCCCACAAATAACCCAGAGATGCATTTTAAATAAAAGCACACATTCTACTCATGTAAAAACACGGTGATTCCTGGACCATCCGCGGGCCAAATTGAGAAGGCGATTGGGCCACATCCGGCCCACAGGCCTTAGGTTGCCTACCCCTGCCAAAGACTAAACTAGGGACCTTCTGCCTGCAAATCAGATGTTCTAACACTGAGCTATATAGTTCTTCTCCAGAACAGTAGACATTTACAAGGTGACGTTTACAGAAATAAAAAGTTGGCAATATAGTAAAAATCCATGTTCACAAGACAGGAATGCATAGAGCTTTGCAAGTAGGCCTTACAGCAATATATCTGAGAGAAATTATGTCAATTAACCCCAGAAGGCTATAGTACTTTTTTTGACTATTTTTACAGAAAGCCTTTCTCCTCTGATACTTCTGAATCATGCTCCTTCTAACTAACTAAAAAGGCAGCCAGTAAAAAGTGAAGAAGTTGAACTGAGTTTGGTTTTTCTTATATTCTCACTAACTTTTTGTCAATTGAACAAAACATGAAGAGCAGTACTGAAGATCTCTTGGGCTAATTAAGTACATTTAATATGTGATAGGAAGATAAAGGGAACTGCTACACTAATTTGTGCATGGCTGCTATTGTACACAAATATTTGTGTTTGCAATTCAAGGTTTAACCTCCAATATCTAATACAGGCTTTAATATATGAAAAAATTACCCTGGGAAGGTGGCCTTTCCTCTCCCTGCCCCACCCATTTTAACCATATATCATGATTAATTGGATAGATCCAAGACAGATGGATCTGTCCTGTGAACAATGCAATGTGTGGCTTGCATAGGGCATCACTTAAATGTGGGGCACAACCCTAAAAGTCATGGACTGACTTCTTATCATTGACAACAGTATGTGAAAAGTTAACCTTGCTTAGTAAATACAGTTGAGGAACAAAGTAGGAAATTCTGGGAGGGGGTGGGAAGGATGAAAATGTACTAAAACTGAGAGTAAAATGTAGGTCACTGCCTTGTTTGCAAGTACCTTCTTCAAGGGATGCTTTCGTCTTTCCTCCTTTTTCTAAATAGGCTTCCCTTCCGCCTTCCCTCCTTGGCCCCCTAATTTCTACCATAACAATAACAGCTTGCATTACCTCCGCTCCCTGTTGTTTACCACTTCATGTGTCCAAACCTCACATTGGTTCTGAAATTAGGTGTCCTGCTTCCCTCTGCTGGTGTTCTGCTGCTCTGCAGGATCAAAAACAGAAAATGTGTCTGATGTCACGTAGTGCAACAACTTGTGGCTATTTCTTCTTTTTTTAAAAAAAGAAAAGTCTGCAGTACTGAAGGGGTTCCATGATTTTAAGTAAAAAGAAGTTGAATATGCAGAATATTAATATCTGAAGTAAAAAAAACCAAGCAGCCAAAAAAACCCCACAAGCAACAAAAAGGCAATTTTTAAATAATCTATAGTTTCTACTATATTTATGTGATCAGAGGAAATGGTGGAAATGGTAAAGTTCTGGTGGTACTTTACCAAAACAAATGGGTGAAGCTTTTGAATTCTGTAAAAAAAAAAAATTGTTAAGGACATTGGTGTTGATTGGATTTTCATTCTGATCCAGAAATTGCTGCCTGCAAGTGAAAATACCATTATGCTTATTTTGCACAATGTTGTGTTTAGCCTTCAAATTGCTGATAGCTTGGAGAAAAAGAATGACACGTAATCTCTTTCTCTCTCTTTGCCCCCCCCCCCAATTATTAGTAGGTTGAGTAATCATATGTGATCTGTATTTGTGTAGACTGCTCCAGAATGCAATTATATTCAGTATTTACACTCTTGAGGAACTTACAAGTTTAATCTATGCCAAATCTTCCAAGAAATGCATATTTGCTGTTTTCTGGTGCAGCACATTTCAATATAAGCTATGTTGTTTCCACCTGCCCTATGCTACATTGGAATATATATCTATAACCCAATGCTACTAATATTCTTCTTTAAATGCTTATATATATTTATTTAAATATCTGTATATTAAATGATTTTGTTAACAAGTATACAAAAGAATATATAGACGTAGGTGAAATCCAAACATTTATGTGTGCATATCTAAAGTGCTTCCTGGAGACTTTATTGACTTGAGAGGTTTTTATTTTTGCTTCTTGTGCTGCACTGCAACACTTTTCCAACCTTCAGACATAGAAGGGATGGGTGGAAGCCTCAATGCTTGGACCCAGGTCCACCTGCAGTCCTTTGAATCTTAGTAAGGAAATTACCAGATATCAACTGGTAATTCTGCTTTCCTATTACACAGGCAGTATTATTAACACAAAATGCTTTGCTTCATGTTTCAGGCTGTCCTTCCTTCGCTAGCAAACCCAGCACACCGACAGGAATGGGTGGAGTATTTCCTCCTATGGGGTCACCACAGAAACCATCTCCTCAGCCAATGGGAGGAGGCAGCTGGCAACAAGGCACTGGATACTCTTGGCCACAATCACAGACAAAACCCCAACAAAGCATGCCACATTCCTCTCCACAGAACAGGCCTAATTATAATGTGAGTTTTTCTGCAGCGCCCGGTGGCCAAAATGACCGTGGAAAAGGATCAGGCAGTTCTGGTAAATTGATTTTTTGATCTTTTTAGTCTTCCGATGCGGTTTTGTAGTTTTGAAGGCCTAGAGGTGGAGTATTTCCAAGCTGAAAATATTCAGTCAGCTATAATACAGGCGATGTGTTTTGAAATTAATTTAGACATTCTGGTTCTAAGTGAAGAACTAGATATTATTGCAGACATGATGTCATGCCCTGACCGTTGTCATCAGTGTGGAATAGGGATGGGGAAACCTGCAGCATTATGACCTTGCATCTTGCCATTGGCATGAGATGCTACTGGGAAGATAGGAAGAAAGAAACTCACTCACTCAGAGGGGCTGTCATATTTGGTGGCAGTCCCATATCTGCCAGAATGTTCAGCTTCACCCTAATTTGTTCTGCATCAACTTAATGGGTGTCAGATTTAACAGATGTCGTGAGCAAATAGTTAGAAGGCATCTAGTTCTTATTTATCACACTATTTTATTCAGTTTGAATTGCTGAGTGAGTTCAAGTTCAAAATGGGCAAGCAAAACTTGTAAGATTCAACTGGGAAATCCTGCTTGTACATGGATGCTTTAGAAAGGGTGATGTGCTAAGTGACTTGTGTTTTTAGAGTGACCTGTACTCAGCAGAGGGGTGAATGTGCCATCTTTCTCACAACGGTGGTGTTGGGAATAAAAGTGCTTAAACTCCTTCTGTTTGCGCTGCAGAGGAAAAATACAGGTATGCCCATATGTACTTCTCTGCATCGTACGGAATGATTTTGTAAAGTATTTAGAATAATGTGACATTTATATCTTCTTAAATCAAGTAATACTTCCTTTTAACACTCTATACTTTTTCCCCATTAAGAATCCAAACCAAAAGTGTCTGCTGATTTTGAAGACCTCTTATCTGGTCAAGGCTTTAATGCTCACAAAGACAGAAAGGGACCAAGAACAATAGCAGAAATGAGGAAAGAAGAAATGGCCAAGGAGATGGACCCTGAAAAATTAAAAGTAAGCTGAATGCTTTGGATTTGATTTCCAAATTGTTCAAGATTTTGCTTTGACTAGATTGTATAATAGTTGAATATTTAATACTTCAGAGATGTTTTACGATGCAAGCATGATACCAAGATCAGTAACAGGACCTTGTCAGTATTTGGGTTTTGCATGCCTATATTTTTCTAGAAAGCTTCAGTATCCACACAAGGGAACTGGTTGTTCAAAACTGAGAAGGTGGGGATGGACTGTGTCTAAATGTAGGTAAGACTCTGTCTTGATGGTAGAGACTCCCTATTTGTGCAGGAAAATAGTGTGGGAGAAGGATTAAAACAGTTCCCCCATCTCCGTTCTCCTAAACTCTGTGTGGGTGAAAGTTGGCATGCATTCTTCCCTCATGCTACCTGGAAATATCTCTGGCAGTAGAGAACAGCATGCAGGTTCTAGGTCTTGACCTGTGTGGGGAGCAAGGACTGGATCAGGAAAAAGGGCGGCCTTTGGCCTGCTCCCTCAGACCTTAATTCCCTCTCATCACTTTTTCATAATCAGCCAGCTTCAAACCCTTCAACAAGGTGTGGGGGGCGGTGGCGGTGGGGGGCTAAGCCCACTTAGCCCAGCTTCTCCCAGCAATGGCTTTGGCCATGGGGGGGTCTCTAAACCCATTTTGCTCTTTTCTAATTACTGTTTAAGGGGTGAAAAGGTCTGTGATCACTATGGCAAATGAAGGTGTTTAGATGGAAGATAAGTGCAAAACTCACTATGCCTTCTGTTCCAACTCTCTTCATATGGTCTGTGGGTTCCAACTAATCACTAGTTGGAATGGTTACCAGAAAAACTCATGAATAATTATTATAATTAAACTGACATTAATCTTTTATGAAGGACTAAATAGGGTCTGTCCCAATAACAGTACAAGTCTTTCATTTGGAGGATTATGAATTATGTATATAAGTTACCTAATATTTATTTTGCTAAGTTTATTCTATTTATATTGTTGAATCCTTGGGCATGTGATTCACACTAATTTCCTTGGTCACTAGCTATATCCATGTATCCCACAATTCTAATTTGGAGAGTTACAGAACAATACTAGCTGAATCTCCATATTCAGAAGCAGTTTTATGTATCTGTTCTTGGAGGTAACAATTTGACATTTCCATTTGATGATATCTATCTCCTGTCTTTCTGAGATTCAAAGCAAACTGGGAAGAAGCAAACTATAAACTGTTCCAATCAAATAAGTATTCATGCTAGTATAGATATTCTCTTGCAGTTTGGTTTAGTACTACATTATCTATTTTCACAGATCCTTGAATGGATTGAAGGAAAGGAGAGAAACATAAGAGCCTTGTTGTCCACAATGCACACAGTACTATGGGAAGGAGAGACAAAATGGAAACCTGTGGGCATGGCAGATCTTGTTACTCCAGAGCAAGTAAAGAAGGTTTACCGGAGAGCAGTGCTTGTTGTGCATCCTGATAAAGTAAGTAATAATATTTTATGTTAATCTGTTACCTCATGTACTCGTTTAATGATTCCTACTTGATCCATCCCTGCAATTACTTTCACCATTATCACTTTAAAACAATATGGAGCGAAGAGTCACTGCAGTTCACTGAAAATCTTTGGTGTAGCAATTATTACCAGTTGTGTGGGAGCTTAGGGAAAGTTTATTGGGATAATTTCAGAAATAGTCTGAAAATGTGATATGGCTCAGTCAAGTGAATGAAAATAATAAGACCTTGCATGTTTACTAATTATGTTTCTGGTTTGAGTTTTGCAGCAAAAAAAAAAATGTTTTAAAATAAAAACTGTGGTTCATAAAACTGATATGCTTAGGCTAAGAATTAAAGTCTGATGGGTCTGGAAAAAATTAAACAAGGGGAAATGTTGATAGATTGTGTGGGCAAGGTGTGAGGTCATGGTGAACAACATTACTTTATAGCTCAAAACTATATCAATAGGTAAATACTACGCCGGCCTATTGGAAGTTGTAAGTCTATCTCCATAAGAACTACAGATTGCAATAAAGCTTATTCACTAAAGGCAAGTGAATATGTACCAGGAGCAACCACAACCTACTTCTTTAGTGTCATTAAAACATACCCTATTACCCCAGGGTAAATGCTGCAAAAAAACCCATGTATGCACAGATCAAAGATATGCTTGCCTTTTATGAGTAAGAATTGCCTCTAGGCAGCTAGGTAGGAAAACTTTATACTATGTTGACTGTTTCTTTTAATCTACAAATACCTGATAAGTAGATGTGGGGATATAGGCTAGAAAAGATTTTTGTCAACTCGTAACTATTCTGGGTTAATTCAGGGTTTCATGCCACCCTTTTCAGCATGCTTGCTCTTCTATGATAAGCGTAAATTATATCTACACTCTGCTATTGACTTTCTGTATGAACAGTGTCATCTTTAAGCTTATTTTAATATGTTTGTGATGTATCTTGTTTTGCTTTCTTGTAGGCTACGGGGCAGCCATATGAACAATATGCAAAGATGATTTTTATGGAGCTCAATGATGCCTGGTCAGAATTTGAAAACCAAGGCCAAAAGCCCTTGTATTAGCGTACTTCCTCAGACATTGCTGTAGACCTGTGCTAGTGCTCATATAGTTCCTTGCCACAAGATTTTCACAGCTGAATTAGTATCTGGCTGGAAATTTGGAAAAAAATAAGACTAGCCCTAACACTAAAACCTTTCGTATGGAGAGCGGGAAGGTATGGAGGCTGCTCCTTACGTATGCCATGAATTACAGATGCAAAGAGAGGAGTTCTAGAAGTTAATCTTATAGTGTTCTTTCAGGTATAAACAGGGTAGGTAAGGTTGCATTCTAGAAAACTGGGATTGCTTGTCTTGGAACAAGTGAGGTGAAATGAATGGTCTCTCTCACTACGAACCAAATAGATGCTGTGTCACTAGGAATGTGGCTTAGTCTTGAAAGTTTGTATCCAGGACAAGCTTTGTCAAAACAAAGCATAAGGATGTTCATATGTGGTTATTTGCTGTACACTAAACTCTCATAATAATTTGACCCTTCAATTACTTCTTGTAGTGTTTCTTTTTTTTTAATATGACAGCTAGGCAACTGGATATGTCTTTGGCAACTTACTGCTGCCTTAAACATAGTACTGTATTTCATGTTTCAGACAAGCAGACAGCTAGACATTTTACACCAACAAAGAATTTGGGAAGTGTCTTTAAATTATTATTTATTAATTAACATGCAAAAGCCTGTTGAAGCATTATCCCAAATCAACAGACCACTAAAGTTGTTTGCTGTTCATTATTATTAAAGTAAGGGTGCAAGAATACCTTGCAAAAAAATTCCCAGTTAAAAAACACTTTGAAACCTGCCTCTGAAACAAACTTTGCTGCCTTCTTCAGCATTGTGAAGTTATGTTCTTAATTGATTCAAATTGTATATTTAAATTGAATCAAATATCCAGTTTTTCCAGAACATTTGTGAACACAAGCTAATGTTACCATGTAGCCTCAACTTCTGGACTTCTATAGGTAACTTACTATGTTCATGTAGTTTTGTAAGATCTGAGGTGAGCAAAAAATACGAAAATTTACTTACTTACTAAAGTTATATTGGCCCAGTAAGCAATAATGTTCATATATTCACATTATGGTATCTGATGATAAAACAAAAGTATGTTCTCTCATCTAATGAAACTAATTTTACATAGCACTTTGAACTGTTTCTCCTTTTGCAGAGAAACTTATAATGGGAGTTTTATTTATTGACATTTCCTGAATGAAATCTGGTCTCTGGCTTGCATGGGGTAGATTAATATTATCTGGTCTCCTCTCCTTCAAGCAGTTGATAGTTAAGTCAACGTGCAGCAACAGCCATGTGAAACTTGGTTGTTTATAGAGGTCCAATGTGTTTATAGATGCTGATTCGATATATTTCTTGAAAACCAAGTATCTACAGGCTGTTGAAGGCATCGTGCCACTTGACTCCATTAAACATTGGATCCCATTATGCAGCCGATTTCTTCATGGAGCTGTTGAATAGTAGCTACAATAGTCACTGTATGGGGGGAAATGGTAACATGCATCTGCCTTTTTGACGTTCAACAGGTGGACAAAAAGGTTTCCACATGCAGGGAAAACTCTCTAGATGACGTGAAAATCTTGGTCAAATTGTTGTTTTAAGACAATCTGTTTTCTGTTGTTCTATTTTCTTTATAGTGGGAAACCCTTTTCTGCAGATACAGCATGTCCACCAGCCTATGTTTATTTTTATATTAAATGCCATCTTTTTGTTGTATTGATCCATTATTTATTGCCATTACTGCCAATGTGAAACAAAACACCAAGCTCTCCTTTTTATATGTACAAGATATTAAGACGTTTGAACAACTATAACAAACTGGATGTTATTTATTAACATATTATGAAATGTTTTGATCAAGTATGTGCTTGTCTATTAAAAACATTTTGAAATGTGAATCATGTTCCTGTGACTTGTTTTAATCCTTCATTCACTTCTGCAGATATTGTGTGAATTATGCTTATGAAATATAAATGGATTCAGTTAATGTAGCATCAGTTTTTGAAATTACAAAAATAACATTAGCTTTGTGCATCAGACTAATAGATCTTTTTTTAAAAGCCCAGGATAAATTCAAATTTTAACAAAATAAATATATCATTTAAGCTTCATCTAGTTCAGTAAAAAGGAAAAAAACTTACCCAACTTAAACACCTTCTCTAACTGCAGTGCTTTCAATGGTGCATGAAAGTGAGACCTATGTGTCAAAACTACTGAACTCAAAAGGGCTTTTCCTTTTCCTTTTGGTCCTATCTGCTCGTCAGTGTTCAGGTTTACTGTTCTGACTAAAACCACTATTATAATCTCTCTTTTTTGTAAATATGCAGTATACTCAATGAACTGTGACTGGTTGAAAGCATTTGTATATATATTAAAAAGGTGAAAGAACTTTCAGTCCTTTTTATTTGTATTTTATCCTATGCAGAGAGGAAGACAAAGCGCCTTCAAAGGGGATGTTATTAAGTATATTGATACTGAGGCTGCTGTAGCAGAAGGTGAAAGAAAATAAACCCACTACTCCATGGGACTGAATAACCTGTTCCTGAATGTACTCTCTTGTGTTACCTTACAGTACAATCCTATATGTCTTCATAGGAGTAAGTCCCATTGAGTTCAGTGGAGCTTACTCCTGGGTAAGAAAGAATAGATAGAAATGCAGCTGTAAGTCATTTTTATATGCTGAGAGGAGCAAATGACTTCATTCTTATATAAACTTAAAACTACTGCTCCTCTTTCTGAACTTGCGTCTAACATTATAGAATACTGTATGTGTTTTACTGAATGCAAAAATGCTTCTAGCTGCCATGTCTCCCAGCTTTATACCATAGAAGTCAACTCCTGGGAGCCCCCACAATAAAATATTTGAGGGAGCCAGGCCCCCACAAAGTTGATGGGCATTCCTATTCAAATGGGGGGGATGTGTGCACTGCGTCATGTGACTGATTATGCGGTGCAGGGCTTACCTGGGCCCCCACAATATTTCATTCAGGTTGGCGCGTCTGCTTTATACAAAACATTGGCATTGTGGTGAAATCACTTTCGGGGGAAATTGCAGTAGGAAACAGTAGAAAGCATGAATTAGAAAGGTGTGTGGGTATATAAATATGCATGAGGACCCCAAGGAGCACTAATTAGACAATGCTTAACGCTTGATTTAAGTAATGGAAACCCCTGGCTGTACAGATGCCACCCATATGTCTAAATACAGTGGTACCTCAGGTTAAGTACTTAATTCGTTCCGGAGGTCCGTTCTTAACCTGAAACTGTTCTTAACCTGAAGCACCACTTTAGGTAATGGGGCCTCCTGCTGCTGCCGCGCTGCTGGATCACAATTTCTGTTCTCATCCTGAAGCAAAGTTCTTAACCCGAGGTACTATTTCTGGGTTAGCGGAGTCTGTAACCTGAAGCATATGTAACCTGAGGTACCACAGTATCCATGGGTGTGTGCAGTCAAAAGACTTACCCTCGCTGGAAATGGATCTACATCAATGGATCCATACAAGTGCGATTTATTTGGGCGAAAAAACCAGCACGCCCACCAACTCCCACTGACTTCTTTCGAAACTGAGGTGATGAATTGTGCATGGCTGGCATGACGGCGCTTGCTTGCTGAGGTCTTTGCTTTACTAACAGGGCCATCCTACTACGTCTGTCTGCTCTGAAGTAGGCCCCGCTAACCGCATGAGACTTACTCCCAGGGAAGTGTCTGGGATGGCAGCCCAGACTAAACAGCAATTTAAAGTTTTTTGTTGTTTTTGTTTTTAAGATGGAGTTAATATCAGACGAGCACATGCCCGACCTCAAAACCAAGGTTTTTGCTCTGTGGGGCCTATGCTTGACCCTGAAAGTGAGATAAGAGGCCGCCCAAGCCTTTGCAATCCGAATATGCTCTGGGAGGGCAAAGGGAAATGCGGGTGGATGGATCCACAAAAAGATGTTTGAACATCTGGCACAAGCAGCAGGAGGACCAGGACCAGCATTTTAAGCCATTTCTGAGGGAATTTCTGAGGGAAATTCCCCTCACTTCGACTGCCTTGGCGCCGCCCTGAGGCAGCTCATAGGCGTGAAAAGAGTCTTAGTTTCTTTTTTTAAAAAAGAAAGTGCTGCTTTTTTGTTGTTGTTCCCTTCCCCCTGTGAGAAGGGGAAGGGTTAGAGCAGGAGCCACGTGAGCAGAAGGCGGAAGAAGTCGACACATTATTCTCCGCCTCCTCTGCTTCGTCGTCCAGCGAGAAAGAGAGAGCGAGCAAAAAAAGGCGCCCCGCAAAAGAAAAGGAGACATGGCGGGGATTAAAGGTATCGGGCCGCTTCTCTCCTCGCGCCTCGGTCTCTCTTTCTCTCTCCCTCCGCTTTCCCCGTCGGCGCGGCTCTCTCGCTCCGCCGTCGCTATGACTACCTCGCTCCCGCCCCTGCCCGGGGAAAGTTCCTCTGCAAATACGGCTAAAGGAGCCTTTCGCTGTGCAGCCCCCTCTCGGTCGTCGCCAACAACAGACTTCTCTCTGGGGCAGCGTAACTTTTTGCACTGCGCCGGCGCTGGGTCTCTTTCTCCTCCTTCCTACGCCCTTTTCCAGGGTGTGGATGTGAAGCACGCGGGGTGGGGAATCCGGAGGCGCCGGCGAGGGCAGGGCTCTTTTCTCTGGAGCAACTGCCGAGAAGGGCTCTGGCCGGTCACATTTTGCTGAAAATTCCTTTCCCTTGAAGCCTATTTAAAAGTTCAGGAATTTTCCCAGCTGCTGTGACCTACCCCAAACCATTGTTTTACATGCGATCGGTTTTGATTCGAAAGCAAAAAAAGAAACCCACTATGGTTCTTACCAGTGCTTTTCTTCTAAAAAAAATATGTTTATGGGTACTCTCATTTTCCTACTCATTGAAATACTGCCCCTCAAAGGAGGTCAAACTTAGATTCACAAAATTTTTAGGGGTGTGCGTCCCCCCCCAGAAAAAAAGCACTGGTTATTACAAACTTTTGGACTTTTTGTTTATTGTAGTCACCAAGGCAATGAGTATACAGCTCATGCGGAGTGTGGTACTTCACTATGTTTAAAATCTCTCCGTCCCAATTGCAGAAGTATAATTTAAGTGATCAGTGAAACCCTTAAAAAAAGAAAATTCCAGCAAGAGGGTCCCATCCTGGAAGTATGGCTGTCGAAAGTGAAACAAACGTTATTTACTTACTTCATAAGATTTATACACCTCTTTATAGTAAAAACACAATCTTCAAAGTGGTTTGCAAACAAAAACAGTAAAATTAAGGAAAATTCAACAAACCCTACTTTATAACACACAAAAGTTAAAATACTAAAGCATTGAAATTACCTCGCCTTTCTCTGCATCCAGATAGGCTTGTCTAAATGCAAGAAGTAGTGACCGCCACCAATTTGGGATAACTTAAGGAAGAGAAGACAAATTCATGGAGAATCAGGCTGTCAGTGGATACTAGCAAGTGGTGGTGGTGGCGGGCGGAGAGCTCTTGCACCCAGGTCCTGGTTCTGGGCTTCCCATAGGCATCCCATTGGCCACTGAAGAGGATGTTGGGGCATTGGTCTGATCCATCAGGCTCCTCATATTCTTAAGGTAGATCAGAATATACTGGTAGATCTCTGGGTGATATGCATTAGATTACTAATGGCAGCAACAAGGTGATTTCCACTCCACCCCTATGTAGGCTGCTGAAATGAAGAAAGCTAGCCAGGAGTGGATTTTTTTTACATGAAATGACTGTGAGCTCAGTTATGTTCTGGTACTAGAAAGAAATTCCTAGGTTCAGGAGGCACTTTGGTATTTAATTCTAACTTTTTTGTTTTTAATTGGCTCTGATTGGAGTTCCAGTAAAAAACAAAGTAGATCCAACAAGCCTGAATTCTGACCACCTCTTGAGATCGAACATCTGCTGTATCAGGAGGCTACACCTTTAACTGCAATGTTGGATCACTTTGTGAATTAAACTGCACAGACTGTGATTGTACAAATGAATGTTAAGCGTGTTAGTGATGTCATTCTTTTTATTTCCACTTGTGTAGCCCTGGTTGGCTTATCGTTCACTGGAGCTATGGGTCTGACGTTTCTTGTATTGGGGTGTGCACTGGAAAGTTACGGGTAAGACTGAATTAATACGAGATATATCACTGTTCTATGTTGTGTGATGGTTCCAAGCATGCTTATTTGGAATGAAATCCTTAAACAAGCGGTTTATGAACGCAGGTTGAATTCTTTTTTCATTCTTACGCCTTTCAGATGATTGAGGGAAATGAGCAGCATCAGAGATTGTAACGGGCTTAATGTGTGGGAGAGCAGTCTGACAGCTGAGAAGAAAAATGAGGGTAGTTTGGTAAACCTTTGCTAAAGCAGTGTTGAGGAATAGAAATTGGTATGTCAGATAGAGAAGATGCAGTAGAATGCTAAAAGGTTCACAAATTAGAATCTGAGCTGATACGGAGATAGGAGATGACAAGGGATGCGGGTGGCGCTGTGGTCTAAACCACTGAGCCTCTTGGGCTTGCTGATCAGAAGGTCGGCGTTTTGAATCCCTGCGACAGGGTGAGCTCTGTCCCAGCTCCTGCCAACCTTGCAGTTCAAAAGCATGCCAGTGCAAGTAGATAAATGGGTATCACTGCAGTGGGAAGGTAAACGGCGTTCCCATGCGCTCTGTTTTCCGTCACGGTGTCCTGTTGCACCAGAAGCAGTCATGCTGGCCACATGACCTGGAAAGCTGTCTGTGGACAAACGTCGGCTCCCTCGGCCTGAAAGCGAGATGAGCGCCGTAACCCCATAGTCACCTTTGACTGGACTCAACCATCCAGGGGTCCTTTACCCTTTTTTTAAAGAGATGAAACTGCAGAAAACAAGGGGCAAAGAAGGGAGGAGGAAGAAAATACAGTTGGGCTGGAAAACTGAGTATCCTGAAGTGAGTGGAAGAACAAATGTATATGGCCCTAGATTTATACTTCAGTGACTTTTTCCTATGTACATTGGTACGTCTGGATATGAATTTAATTAGTTGCGGAGGTCCATTCTTACCCCGAAACATTTGCATCCAGAGGCGCCTGTTCTGCGCAGGCGTGCGTGACCGTAATCCGCTTCTGCATAGGTGCGGGCGGCGGAAACCTTTCCGTTACTTCCGGGTTTGTCGCGTGCGTATCCTGAAGTATTTGCAAAGGGGACAGTACGTAACCCGAGGTTCCACTGTATATAATTATGTGTATATTTCTGTGCTCAGCTGTTACGATTTCAGAGGATGATAATAGGTTGTGCATAAAATTCATTTTAAACGGCATTAACTTCTCTCATCTTTTGTGTTTGTCATTCTGCAGCGTCTACTGGCCTTTATTTGTTTTGATATTTTACTTCATAAGTCCTATTCCCCACTTCATCACAAAAAGAGTAAGCGATGATACTGATGCCGCAAGCAGTGCCTGCAGGGAGCTGGCATGTTTCTTCACGACTGGAATTGTGGTTTCTGCCTTTGCGTTTCCTATTATCCTTGCACGCGTTGAAGTGGTAAGGTCTTATCACAAGAAAAGTTTATATGTCACCTTTTGACCCCTCACAGTCCTGGGCAAAATACAACATCCCACTCTTCTGATTGCTCCATTAGCACAAGCATTTCGGCTTGCCAGATGGAATGGACCCCCCCCCCCCAAAAAAAATCTTTCCCCTGTATGCTGTTCCCTCACATTCAGTCAAATTTTTTGGGGAAGGAAGCTTGGTGCTCAAGCAGAAGTCCTTGCACAGGGCTTCTTCTGATGAGAGTCATTAGGTAAATCCCACGCCCTGTTTTTCTGGTGTATGGCACATTGCCTTGCAGATAAACACTTCACAAAATGAGTCATCTTAATAATGTATTCTGGTTAAGTTGCTGTTCACTGTAAACCAGACACAGCACCAAGCATAATTTCACAAATGTCACTGTGAGTGACGCTGCTGCCCCCTTTTTTTAAAAGAAAAGTTTACATTAAAAAAAATAATTGCTCAGCACTGTAAATAGAAATACTGGGTGAAGCCACTTCTAACTTCTCAGTTGAGGGGTAGGACCCAGAGTAACTGAGGATAAAGAAAGTTATCCCAACACTTTTCCAGGCCCTCTCAGGAATCCAGAGAGGCCTGGATGCTTCTGGTTCTTGAGGTGCCCAGTCATAATATCAAAATGTCAATACATGAAAACATAAAAAGCACTAAAAAGAGTGCAGCGTTAAATAAGTAATTTAACAAATGCTGCTTCTAACATATGCCTTTTACCAAATCACCTCCTGCTTAAATTTTCAGCTGTGTGATAGTGTCACATTTAGGTCCAGTGTGCATAAAAGCAAGTTGTTAAATGCCAAAAAATTAACAAGTGACTAAATATAAGCCCCCCTTTGAACTTGTAGCCCAAGCCGAACAGCCTTGGATTTGCCCTGCCCTTGCAGTTACAGTTCTGAATGAGGAAGTTGCTGTTATTGCCATTAATTTCTTTAGTCCCATATCTCTGGGCTCAGACCCTGACATGCACTGGGGATGGAGCCCAGAGGTACTGTGAATGACTGTGATTGTAGCTGACTCAGCCAGTGTTGAAAGAAAAGTGCTGGGTGTGAGGCAGACACAGATGCTAATAACTTCCTTATTCATATTGTCTCTGGGAATCCAGCATGAACACGAGAGGGCAAAAAGTTTGTAGTGAGCTGTGCTCTCTCGCTCTCTCTCTCTCTCTCTCTCTCTCTCTCTCTGTGTGTGTGTGTGTGTACATGCAGATGTCAGCTCCTTCACTCCTGACCTTCATGTGTTTAGTGTTAAGGCCTGAAGAGGGCTTCTTAACTGCACTTGGCTGAACCCCCATTTTGCCCTCAGACTGAAGCAGACTGATAAGTTTTTAGTGGTCTACATGTTTACATGCATTCTGGTTTGTTTCCTTTTGAAAACTTTATTTCGCAATAAGGTTTTCACGTGAATAAACCACTGGTTGTGCGGGTGGAATTCTGAAATCTCTGCAGTAAATGTTTTCTAGCTGCAGTCTAGAGGAGTGTAAACACCTAGCTGAACTTATGGCGGTTTAGGCGTAGTTAACACACACCGGATTGCATTGTCTGGCTTTGATGACGGGAGCTCCTTTATATGCCCACCTGTGCTTGCAAGTATGCATAGCAGGACTTCATACTGCTTTCCATTATCTGCTTGGCAACTTTTCCAAATCCACAGAGAGCAGGAAGGTAGAAGGAGGTGCTACATGTTGCGATTACTGATATCTGCAGTTGCTCACCTTCCATGCTTTAAGAAAGCGAACTATTACCTGCTTTAATGAATTATTTTTTGGTGTTTGTGTTAGCTATTGCAGATGCTGTTTTGGCTTTCATTCAGGTATTCCTCTCTATCCACTTCCATACCAGCAGGAGTGAGTTCAGCAGCATCAGTAGGCGAGAGCTGCTGCCCTTGCATGTTATTATTGTGCTCTGTTCTCCTTCCCCTGTTGGTTGCCTGTGACAAGATAGGCTAATGACAACCATACTGGGTTAAGGACAGTCATACTGGGCAGCAGAATGCTTGGTGATGCTGGCTGTCTTGCTTGCAGTGTCCCGTTAGAAATCCTTTGAAACTCCAGTCTCCTGCTCACTGTTCTTAAAACATCCCTCCCATTCACAAATGGTGAACAGTCTGTTTCACCCAATTTACATTTCTATCTTGTTTACTGTTCTGTTTGCTCTCATTCACTTTGGGAGTTTAATAGGACAGGTTAAGATGAACAAACTTTTTTTTGTTTTTTGTTAGTGCACTTGACTTTGCCTTAATGATTAAGCCACAGTGCTGTGTTACCAGAACAGAAGCACGTAAAGATATATTTACATCTTTCTCATATCTACTAGTATTATCCCTGGTTTCCTTCTCCCGAGCCCTTAGTTGAGGTTTCATAAACTTGTTATGTCTAGAATTCTCCTTTCCAAGATCTTATCTAATTTATTTTCCAGTAGTAGTACTACAGTCATACCTTGGGTTTACAAACGTGATCTGTGCGGGAGGCACGTTCACAACCCGCAGCGCCGCATCTGCGCACGCGCGTGATGTCATTTTGAGTTTCTGCGTGAGCGCCGAAACCCGGAAGTGACCTGCTCTGGTACTTCCGGGTTCACCGCGGTCCGCAACCCGAAAACGCACAATCCGCTGCGTTTGTAACCCGAGGTATGACTGTATACATCTTCTGTATACTTAGTCCATTTCTCTGTTTAAGAATGTTAAATAAGAATAAATAATACAGTCCGACCACTAGAGAGAGCTCTAATTCCTTTTCTTACCAAACAATGTTTTGCTAAAGGTTGAAGATTGTAAAACATCTGGAAATGCAGAAACCATGGGTGGGAGGAACATTTTTACAGGTTTTTGGTGAAAGAAAATCTGTACAATACATATAAAACCCAAAATTACTTTACTGGAAGAGCTTAAAGTGAATAATGGCTAAGCCAATAGAATTTTATTTGCTGATCTATGTGGCATATTTATGAAATGTAAAAATATAAGTGCTACGCAGCACAGTGCTTTGAAGTAAGCTACACAGAGTTCTATGAGACTTATTTGCTCCGAAGTACAGTAGATCTTTATAGGTTTGCAGCATCAATTGTATTGAAACTATATATCTCAATAGTGCCAGTGCTAGAGATGGAATTTTGAAAGTTACTGCTTCCAAAGGTATTTAGGTATATCTTAGTTTTTGTTAGTTGAGAAAACTTAAATAAAATACTGTGGTAGAAAGTATCGAGTTTGTGTTATGGGTCTATAACTTTAACAAATAATAAAACCATGTAATAAAACCTACATTTTGTTTACTACAATCATTTTACAGCTTCTAGCTTTTTTAGGTGCTTTTATATAAAAAAGGCTGCTAGCAGTAATAATACCATTTTATTTTTATTTTTAAAAAAACTTGCATATTTTTAGAAAGTTCAGAAAACCTATAATATAATCAAGAAGTAGCATTAATATGTATATTGAGCCAAGCAGGGTTACTATAAAGTTTATATCATCAACTTTTAAAAATGGGCTACTTCCTTGGATCATTGTTCTCAATCTTCCATGTCTGCTTTTTGCTTAATAGTTTGCATGTTTTCAAACAATATTGGTTTGCGTCCCCTGATGCACAAGATCAGGAATCGAAGGCTCATTGAGAAGCACAAGAGATTAGTGACTGTGTTGTCCAAACGTCTTTCTGCCTTCCTTGTTGCAGGAACTCAATGTTCCCAGGTTGACCAGAGTTGTTGCATATACTTGCATTTGAAAGTAGTTTACCAGCACCAAGTTCTGAGAATAATGCTTGGTGGACCTGTAATCCTATGCCCATTTTTCTGGGAGCAAGCACTATTGAATTCATGGGACTTATTTTTGAGTAGACAGATGGAGGATTGCCCTATTAGTAATCTAGAGCAATAACAATGGAATAATAACATAACAGTTTAAATTTATTTTAGCTGTAAGAGATTTACAAGTGTAAATTCTTTTTAATATTATTTTAAAACATTGTCTTTTCAAAACCATTTTACTCACAATTCAAAGATAAATGATGTCATATTTGTCTTTATTTTATCAGTTTCACCCAAATATTAGTTTGGCCAAGGTGGCAAAGAGAAGCAATGTGTGGACAATGGGATTTCCAGGCCTTCATAGTTCTAGTAATGGGGGCAGACTTTTAATTTGCTCTTTTGAGAAGACTATGGCAGGCTGCCGCTAAATTACTCTAAATTATTTTCCCCTTCCATTGTGGATGAGCTTGAAAAATTATCACTGAACATCTTGTAAACTTTTCATGAACTGCTATCTCGACCAGTTTTACTGTACTCATAAAGGACAAATAATTGTTTATATATATATATCACTGCATTTTAGGGAAATGTTTAATTAGTTCCTGTAATGACTACTTAGGTATGTAACAATTTCAGATTACATTAGTTTGCTTGGTACTCAAAATTTACTGTTTGATCGTAAGCGCTTTTAGCATCCTGATGTTGTATTTCTTTGTATGTGTCTAATGCTCAAAGTAGGGTGCATTTTCTATCAATGAATAGAGAGTAAATCTTTCTTCTTATTCACTTTGTATTTCAGATCAAGTGGGGAGCTTGTTGCCTTGTTCTGGCTGGAAATGCAGTAATTTTCATTACCATTTTAGGCTTTTTTGTTCTATTTGGAAGAGGAGATGATTTTTCCTGGGAACAGTGGTAGACTTCACTATGGATTTTCATATGGATCTGCACTTTAGGGCTTACAAGGAGCTTTACTATGACACGGATCTTAGAGTACATTGTATGTATGTATGTATGTATGTATGTGTATACACGCATACGCATATGATGACTTATATTATTTGCATGCATTAATAGCTTTACACTATTGCAAGTCTTCCCAAACTTGGATCTCCAGCTGTTTTTGGACTACAATTCCCATCATCCTTGACCACTGGTCCTGCTAGCTAGGGATGATGGGAGTTGTAGTCCAAAACCAATGGGAGAAACCATGCACTATTGGATATGGGTCCGCTTTTTGTATCTGGTGCCAGCCTAACACAGGGTAAATGTATTGCCTTTTAAGTACTAGTCTTTCTATTTAGTTGGATACATGCAACTTGCCGCAATTTGTGAGAATTTTTTGGACTGCAACCTACATTTTGCAAATTGGGTCTGTCTTGCAGGTTAGATGGATTTGTAGTGATGTGGAGTTTCGTTTCAACACTTAAATTTGATACAACATTTGCTTTTTAAAAACAAAACAATCCTGACGTACAGAAAAAAAGGTATTGAAAGTATATCAAATGCAAAAAAAGAGTTTCATTTTGCCAAAGTGCTGAAATAACTGTAGTAAGCATTTCTTCGTGACAATAGCACAAAGACATTTTAATGGTAATGTTTGTAAAATACTCAGACTATTCGACTCTTGAATTACTCAGGGTTTGTAATGCTTTGAATACAGTCTTGAAGAGCTTTTGCATGAGTGAGAAAATGGGATACAATCCTGCAGATGCATTTCATGCATTGACAGTTCTATTCTGTGTTGCTGGAAGTTTTGAGATAATTAATTTTAAAAGTAGTTTTAGCTCTGGTAAGAGTAGAGGTATGAAAAATTAACGCTGCCCTCCTCTACACGTTTGCTTGGGAGTAACCCAGACACAAGTTTATTCTACTGAAGACTGGGATTTACTCCTGAGTCAACATGCATAGGGTTAGGTTGTGAAGTTGCCTTATAAATTATGCTGCAGCAAAAAAAGAGAGAAGGAATAGAAATTTAGCTTTGATCTTCTTTTCCTGGTGTTCCAAAAGTCTGTCTTTCACCATCATTTTCAGATAATACAGAACACACCTTTTTAAAGGTGGCATGATAAAGGCAAATGATAATGTTCACTTTCTGGCGCAGCGGTGGGTATCCCACAGCCTCTGGCCTTATTTCACAGGGCCTTCAACCTGATTTAATATGGGTATTCAAAAGAGTGTGCCTTGCCTTGCTTTGGGATCTGCCCCTCCAAAACTGACTTTGGTCGCACCCACCTTGACCGAGTGTGACCTTCAAAAGGAGATAGGTTTTGCCATCTCTGTTCTAAAAGGTGCTTTACTCTTTAAAGTGGGAACACAAGTTATTTTATAGGTGAGATATAGTGATGAAAGTTCCCACCCCCCATTTAATGTGCAAACTCAAATTACTATTTGTGGTGGTGTGAAATAAGAGTTATTGCAAGGGTTATAAAGGTTCCTGTGAGCCTGATATTATTTGGCTCCAAGCTTGTCATCCTGCCAGTATCTGTGACCTGTTAGCGATTTTCATTATATAGTAAAAAAAAATAAAAAATATTGTGGTACCCTAAATACTCATAGTAATCTTACTCCAAAGTGCCTTTCTCTAAGATTATTGTGTTCTGCAGGAGGCATGTGCATCAAAGCCATGCTGCATGTATTTGATAAACATTGCTTTGCATTCTCTTGTTGACGATGTTTCATATACAGCATATATGAACTTTTGTAACCTTTGTAATTTATGTCATTTGAAGTACTGGAATTGCACAGTATTAGAATACATTTGTGAATGTATTTTTTAAAAACTCAATAAAATTTTACTTCAAAGTCTTTTTTGTGGCGTGTCTTCTGAATTATTGTGTCCCTTTTGATTTTATAACAAATTAAAAGAAGTAAGGACTGCACTGACCTTGATCTGTGGAAAGTAAAATATAAATGCAAGTAAAAAACTTACTGTAAGTGCAGTAAAATGAAATTCCCCAAAAGACATGGCTCTACCAATGTGGGCAGCAGTTTTTGCCTAGTAAACATAACAAGCTCAGTTAAAAGTACTTCCCATTATATAATGTTTGGCACTTATCACTTCTGACAAGGGAAACCTTATAAGAACTATTTATCTAAACTTGCCTTTAATGCAACACAAACAGGTTCTAATTACATTTAATGGCACATTTGGGTCTACAATCAAGTGAAGATGCAATTTAAGATTTTCTTATTTTCAGCAGATTAAATTAAGCGTTTCTCAAATAAGTGATAGCTTTTGTTCTATATACATATAATAAAAATGTAAGGTTGTTCTCACATTGTAGTAAGCTTGGCCACAGGTGTGTGACACTGCAAACTGCAGCATGATAAGAAGCAGTGGAGGGACAGCTAGAGCACACTGCTTTGCCCCAGCCATCTTGGGGATCCACTGTTTCTGCCACCAGTTAGGATGAAGAGCCAGCCTAGCGGGAGGAATAGCACAGGAAGGTGATTGGAAGTGGTGGCTAGCTAGCTAGCCTGGTAATCTGTCATTACTGTCACCATTTATAATGAAGAGTTGGCCTACAGCAGATCTCTAGACTGGCTAGCCACCACTTCAGGTCTGTTTCCTGCAGTGATCCTCCTGGTGGGCCAGTGGTCCCACTTGGCTGCAGTGGTGGCATGAGGTGGAACCAGAATGACAAATAGATTAATGGGGGGACTGGAAAGATGACAAAGTCTAGGAGTTGGGGTTGGCACAGTACATGGGGGCTTCGTGAAGGCTAGGCAGATTTGACAAGCAAAGGTTAGTGGCGGGGGTGGGTGGGTGAGATCTAGGGAGGCTTGGTGAGGGGGTTAGATGGGGTTGGCAATTGACACCCCTAAAAACATGCATATTTTCCTTCAGCATTTAATATAGCCTTGGAAGAGCACGGGCTTACAAAATCAGTTGTTGCTTCTAACTTTTGCAAATTACAGCATTCTAACGGTTTGGGTAGATATGTAGCAGTTCTGGGTTGGATTCCCCCTCACCCTGCATCAGCTCCCATGCTGTTCCAGAGGGTCCTCCACCCAGTGGTGGGCAGGGACAAAGGCAAATGTGGATGTGATTCCTACCTCTGTACTGTTGGCTTCGTGCCAGTCACGCAGACATGTCTACACCACCATCCCATGTACACACTCCCCTACATCCAAACAAGCAAGAGGCAGTTGAAGGACACATTTGAGCCGGGCAAAAAGCACTCGAGGCATGTGCAGAACTGGGACGGTGGGTGGCATTGCGAAAGTCCTGAGGGCCAAATAGGCCCCGAGGTTCTCCAACCCTGTCCAAGGCTATGAAGCCTTCTAGAAAGAAGCTTTGATTCTCTACTGAGGTTAGTCAACATAATTCTTCATCCGTGGTCCATTGTTCCCCCCAATTCTGTTTCTTAGAATCAGTAGCAGTGGGGAGGTTGACGTAGTGCATATGCCAATTCAGTGCTCCTGCTGTTGTGTTTGCACCAAGCCAACCTCTCCACTGCCTTTCTCCTCTCCTTCTGGGTAAGAAATTCAACTGGCAGGAGGTCTGGTGAGTGCTGCTGCTGCTGCTGCTGCTGCTGCTGCTGCTGCTGCTCTACCACTCTACCCACTAGTGCTTAGGAGATATGTGCTGGCTGGGGCTGATGGGACTTTTTGTTCAAAGCAACTGGAGGACCCTAGGTTGGTTAAGGCTGCATTAATACAATAACACCAAAAAAATTGATGTTCAAGACTAGATCTTTTAAGTAATTGTCATTGAGACATTTTAAAAACTTCACAATAATAAACTAGTGTACCACTGTGACATTTTACAGGGCAAATACATCCTGCAATATTTCTCTCCCCTCTTTTGTGCTTTATGCCAGCTGGAAACAGAATAACAACTGCCGACTCTCTTTTCTCCCAGAGGGGAAATGCATATCTAAGGTTTAAGTGGTGTTACTTTTCTTGCCTCCTAGCAATATGCCACAAAGCACATCTTAACATAAGACATACTCGTTGATGCAATGCTGTCGCAAGGTCCTGAAATGAGATACATTACCATCACATCCTATGTGAGTGGTGTTTTGTAGAATAGGGAAACTTCCCTTACAAGATGGAAGTGTGCACATGTGTATGTGTGAAAATTAGTGGCTGAGTTATATGAAAGTTGCTTTAATTGGGAGCTCAACAACGAGAGATTAATAGACCGCTACCATCCATTACCCTAGGACTTTTTGTGGAACAAGGACACTCAGAACTATGACCAATTTCATATGCTCACATAATTCCAATTACATTTCAACCTATAGTAAGTTTCAGACGAAATAATATTGAATGAATTGTGTATTTTTCTTGGTCTGAAAAATGAGTCAATGCCTGTTGAGGTTTTACCATATTATTTATAATCAGGATTAACAGACTTTGTAGAGTGAGTTTATTGAAGTTGATGTAGCGATCAAATTGTGTTTACCTGATAGACACACTTTAGGACACAGAGCAGTCAGATGAGACTGGCTGGGTTTTGGTGTCAAGGTTTTCAAGTCTCAGAAATGAATGTTGGCTGTATTGAGCAATGTTTGAAAAGGTAGTCAAACGGCAGTTTGTTTTCAAGCTGAGGCCATTTACTGGAATAGCAAATGCTATACTCATTATTTGATCAATGCATTACATCTCCATTCGCTACAGTATATTTCTTCTGGGAAGAAAAAGAGAGGGGTAGCCCTCACAGTGAGCAATTGGGTTTATGTTCCAAAGAGACTGTTTGTGGGAAATATTTGCAGTATGCAGTATACATCTAGGTTCTGCTCAGGGAATAGCTGACTTCCTAAGATTAGCACAAGGTTGTCTGTGGGGGAAGCAGCAATGCCATGACCCTCATGGCAGCCATTTTGTACTATGCCACTTTCCAGTGGCTGCCATTTTGTGACAGGCAGCCATAGCACTACCTCAAAATTCAAAATATGCCAACTAGTCCAAAAAGGTTGGTAATTCCTGCACATCACATAAATAATATTACTATATATTGGAAGATGATAAACAGAATTGTTTTCTTATTTCTATTACATCCTGATTAATATAAAGAGAAATTGGCTTATTGTAGAGGGAAGAGCAGTTGTTGGCCCTCCAAGTGTCCCTATTTTTCAGGGACGTCCCTCATTTAGAGAAGCCATCCCAGTTTCTGATTTGGTCCCAGAATGTCCCACTTTTCCTTAAGATGTCCCTATTTTCATTGCAGAAATGTTGGGAGGGTATGGAGTTATACAATTCCTGAGTTGTCTGAAGGCAATCCTGTACAGGGAAGTTTTTTTAAAAAATGTTTACTGTTTTATTATGGTTTTATATATGTTGGAAGCTGCCCAGAGTACTGGGGCAACCCAATACGATGTGTGGGATATAAATAATATAAAAAATAAAATTATGGAATCGGACGTCCCTATTTTCATTGGAGAAATATTGGAGGGTATGAAATCAGTTATCCAAAGGTTTTTTCTTTTGTAAAAACTGTTAATGCAAGTAGGTTAAAGGACAAACTTGACTGATTGTGCTTGTTTTTGGTTTTGTTCTTCTAATAGCAAGATAGACATTTTGTAGCACACGTCTCCACCAAGGTAAGGTAAGGTAGTATAAATTGTTGAAACTAATTTTATTCCCACCTCTAAATCTTTTTTGTAATGTGCAGATAATGAGGAAGTCTTCTAGTTAAACTCATTATTAGGAGCAGTCAATGTATGTTTCCCTGTAGCACTTCAGGTAATTTCATTAACTCTGTAGCATTTTCCACAGGTTTTTGCAAACTTTTAGGTTTCAGCAAGTGATCATTCATTCATACTGTCTTCTTACAGCACTATTATGTGAATGTTTACTGAGAAGTAAGTCCTATGCTTTTCAATGTGGCTTATTTCCTGGGCCAGAGATTCCCTAGCCTGCTTTCGAACAACGGTACAAAATGAGAATATTTTCTTGCATCTAATGGCTCTTTACATTTTACGGTCTTTAAGAATGTTTAATGATTGATTTAATTGTGTTTTTATCAATCTGTTTACAAGCAACTGTGGCAAAAATGCGGCACCTGCATTTAAATGTAACTTCAATATGTTTGCTTCTTGGATAAAGGTTCAAAAATCTTATCTCTTAATGTTCACGTGGCATATGTTTATTTATTTATTTTTGTTGTTGCTATGATTAAATAAAACATACTTTATATGTAGCTTTTATGTTCAGCTAGCTTCATTAGTTGATGGTGTATATACAAAATAGACTCCAGTCTTATAATTGATTGGGGGGGGGATACAGTTTGGAATAATGTTAGATGCAACCTTTGCAAGGGGAAGAGCTGTCTGTCAAAATTGCTGGGTCATGCTTGACATGTTTCACGGCAAGACCTTTCGGTTAAGGAAACTGATCACTATGTGTGAAATCATAGTGGATAACCTCAGGGACAGCACTGAGTGGTATTGTTATATTGCAGGCATGTCCAAAGTCCGTTTCAGGGGCCTAATCCGTCCCATCAGCCAGTTTAATCCAGCCCCTGTGGCAGTTTGTTCCCTGGGGTAAAATCCTTAAAAAAGGTCAACAACTTTGGTCGACCCTCACGCATGTTCACTTCATCAAATCTGGCCCTATTATATTGTAACCAGCTGAGTAAGAACTATGGAACTATGTTGCTGCCCAAATGCAAAATGATGACGATGTTGATTAAGAGGATAATTAAATTTCCATACCACCCATCATTTAAGGACGACAGGGCAGTTCACAATATAAAAGCACAAAAAATGCATAACATAATGACAAACACCCCCCCCCCCCCCCGTTTCACATTTAGCAATTTGGTTAAAGGTCAGGATGAAGGAAAATATTAAAAGTCCCCCTCCCTTCAGCTGCCTCACTATGAATTACTACAGAACCCACTTGTGGATAGTGATGTTTTTAGGTGCCCCTGACTCTTCATCTCTCACATGTGACACCATCAGCATTTTGGGACCAGCATATCCTTATTCTGTGCTATTGCAGGGTCAATTTATGTTTTCCACATGGTGTATGATAAAGTCATACATTTAGAGGAAAAAGGAGAAGAAAATGCAAAATTGCACATTGGAGTGTTCTTCGGCTTCTTTGTCTGGAGTTTTAGAAAGCCATATATTCTCTTTAATTGAATTATAGTGTCTGCTGTGTTAAATGGTCCAGCAACTAATTAATGTCAGGTTCTAGAGACATTTTTTTTTATTGGCAGTGCTAGAACATGCGGAAATTTTTCATATTATATGTGAAAAAAGACATGCTTATTTGTTCCATAGTCCTCTTCCACTTTCCTCCCCCTCTGAGACATCTTTCTATTCAGCACGTACATCCTATTAAGCATCAAGCACATTTTGTGTACAGCATGGTTATTTTGAATTGGCTTTTAATATAATAGTTGCATGAAGAATTGTATCAAGTGACCTACCAACCATAATTACAGAACCACTTTCATAGAACAACTAAGGTAACACATTGGTCAGAATAAGTATTGAAAAAAGAGATAGTTCCAGGTTAAGAATGAACAATAAATCCTAGGCCTGTGACTATGTGACAGGAGTTGCTATTCTATGGCTTCATCCCATAACACTACAATAATATTTGAATGCCTATAAAGTACCACAAAGTAGTATATAGCGCCATAAAGTAGGTCTCATCCTGCTTTGCTGATCAGATGGGAAGGACCTGCACAATCCCCCCAACCCCACCTTCATGCACGCACATGCACATTGTACTGAACATGCAAAATTTTTGCAGCAATGTGGGATAAATACATGAAAGAAACATGTCCTTGGTGCTGCTAGGGTCAGACATGAAGAATCCTATAGTCCCCCTACGATTCAAAACTCTCAAGAATTGAATTAACATCTGATGGTTTGGGTCCTTCAGGAAATGAAGTCTTGCTCTGCTATGTCCACAGCCCCCTGATGGCACTGTGACATGAGGACCATAAATAATCCTGCTGGGCCTTCCATGTTAGTGGAGGTTTAATATCCAGAGAGACACATGAGTTCCTCCAACAAAATGTGCTGATTAATTGGCTAATTTAGTGCCTCCCATATGTATTGGTAACTGTGTCTAGAGCAGGCATCCCCAAACTCAGCCGTACAGATGTTTTGGGACTACAGCTCCCATCATCCCTAGTTAACAGGACCAGTGGTCAGGGATGATGGGAATTGTAGTCCCAAAATACCTGGAGGGCTGAATTTGGGGGTGCCTGGTCTAGAGTGTCTGCAATATACAGAGTAAACTCAGGTGCTTGTCAAATTTCAGTCTCTGTCCAGACTAGTGCGGCAAACTACATAAGGGATATTTTAATTTGCTTTCATTCGAAGAAATGGTGGAAGTAATCATTTTAGGAAAACTGGTGGTTGCCAACTGCACTTGAAAAACTGAATGAAAGGGCTATCCTGGAGACACAGATAATTGGAACCACTGGATAGATATACCTATCAAGTATTCTGCATGTCTTCCCTTTCTCTTGGGTTTTTAGATCAGCCAGGAGGTGGGGCAGAGACTTGGGCCTGGAAATGGACTGGAAGGCAGTGAAGATGTTAAAAGTACTGGCATAATGGACTCATATTGCCCAGTCCCAATAATCTCCCTTGCCGCCATATACTGCACTAACTGCAGTCTCTGGATTATTTTCAAAGGCAGCCCATACAAATAATGCATTACAGGAGTCTAGAAGGGAGTTTAATAAGGCACGGATGACTGTAAACCCAGTAAACAAGTAGGGCTGCACTTGGTGTATCAGTCTTAGCTGTTAACAGCACTCTGAGCCACAGAGGTTGCTTATGGCTCTAAGGACAAAAATTCAGCTGCCCTCACCTACTCCTCCAGGTCCTCCAAACATACCTTTTCCGGAAAAGGGTGGATTTGTTCACTGCCTTTCATATTATTATATACAGATACGCTCATTGTAGATCTGTTGGGTTGAAATAAGCAACAGACGAATGGCAAGGTGTCATATGGGAGGCATCTCTCGAGCAAGTCTCGGAAAGTCCCTTTTATTGAATATTACAGCATTTCCACATATGTGCTTGTTGCTGATTGGTTAACATGAATACAATGCAAAGGTTGAATATAGGTATTAATCATCGATAGATTAAAGGTTGGGAAAGGGAACACAGAATTGGACAGGCGTGAAACCTCCTTATTAAGCTATTAACTAGTGATTAAGTATCAAGACTTAAACTACTACTAATGATTGATTTTGCATGACTTGAAAGAACATAACAATCGCGTTCCGTAGATGTGGTCAACAATGCGTTAAGAACAGGTCAGGGTATAATGTTTTCATGAACTCAATATGAACTGAACATTCTAGGGTGATGAGGGAATGTCTTAGTATTAGAACGGTTTGTGCAGCATGTGCAGAAGAAAAGCTTAGAAGCAAAACTTCCCATCATGCCACAGTCATGTGCAGAGGCAAAGCTTCCCTTCATAGATCCATATTAGAACACAGTGGTGTGCTTCAATTTTATTGACAAATAGAATTAGTTAATTAACAGCCCGCCTTTACAGTACTGGTTTTCCATTGCTGCAGTTGCTGTGAGTCTAGAGAGGAAAAGCTCTGTTCACTTTAAATGAGCTACTGGCAACCATTAGAATTCTAAGGGAAACAAAACCAGACATATAAAGAACCAGCATATTCTCTCTCTCTCTCTCTCTCTCTCTCTCTCTCTCTGTGTGTGTGTGTGTGTGTGTGAGAGAGAGAGAGAAAGAGAGAGAGAGAGGGAGATCTCCAGCTGTTCAAGATAAGATGTACCCTTTCCTCTCCCCTCATAATCATTTAAAACGTGCATACAGATCAGATATGTGCTTATTGACATTGAAAGGAATCCACCTTGAGGAGGGAAGTTTATACAGTATTTGTTGGACAACAGACTTGTTTTTTGTAACACTGAAGAAATGCAAAAGGTTCACATGTCAGAATGCCTTTCTCTATCAGCAGCAGCATAAGTGCAAACCGTGATGCAAATGTTACTATAGAAACTACTTTTTTTCAATTTAAACTCCATAAACAAGCTTGCAGAACACAGGTATGCTTCAGATTCATAAGGTGCAACTGTCTGGCTTTACATTTACCTTCCACTTTTCTACACATGCATATTTTACTTTGTATTAAGGCAGTTGATACCTATTATTTTTCTTAGTTACCAGTATTAGAGTAAAAAAAAAGGGGGGGACAGGGGAAGGCTAGATTAGAGTTTATTACAAAGGATGTGACCTGTCTCTGTGCTCCCATGTGTGAAGAGAGTGAAAATGTCCAAGGCTTATTTTTTTGGCAGTTCACAGTTGACAGAAATGTGAAGATAATGTGTTCTCTGAAAAAAGTAGAATTAAAAAAAAAATGCTTCCGTATGTACTCTCCCCAGTGGCTGGATCTTTAGGAAGACACTATTTTAGAAACATTTTTGCTACAGAATGATTCCAATTTTCTCCCTGAACAAAAACCTCAGTGTCACCAACCTGGAACGCCTGGGCACCTGCACAGGCTTCACTGGCATACCTGGGCAGGGACTCCAGACTCCAAGCTTTTGGAGGGTTTTTTTTTTTGGGGGGGGAGGGTGGAGTAAGTCTCTAGCCCTTCTAAAAAGAAAATTAGAAAATGTGCAGGTACATATCTCTGTGATTTCAGTGAACTTAGCCAGCCAGTGTGGTGTAGTGGTTAAGAGCGGTAGTCTCATAATCTGGGGAACTGGGTTCGCGTCTCCGCTCCTCCACATGCAGCTGCTGGGTGACCTTGGGCCAGTCACACTTCTTTGAAGTCTCTCAGCCCCACTCACCTCACAGAGTGTTTGTTGTGGGAGAGGAAGGGAAAGGAGAATGTTAGCCGCTTTGAGACTCCTTAAAGGGAGTGAAAGGCGGGATATCAAATCCAAACTCTTCTTCTTCTTCTTCTTCTTCTTCTTCTTCTTCTTCTTCTTCTTCTTCTTCTTCTTCCCTATTGCTGTTTTTAATCAATGAATGACATCAGAGTTGTGATGGATAAGTGAGCTGTTTGGACACCAGGCAGTAGGAGTCCCTTGAGTCCTAAAGGACTGCTGTTTCTCCATCCTCTTTAGTGGTCATTTCCTGCTTTTGTCCTGCAATCTTGGAGATTACAAGGTCTAGAAATGTCCATAGTTGGCTTTGCATTTCCCCCTAGCAAACAGAATGTATCTTTCCTGTGATGGGTTCATGTGACAGCAGGTAGTCCCTAGAATGCTGCTACACAAATACTACTACACAGCTAAGGGGGTTAAACAACCCCCGCTCCCCGTCAAAGGCAAATGTGAAAACGTTGCAAAGAGGCTTAGGGGTGTGACTTGCCTGCAGAAACCAAAGACCAAACACTCATCAAGAATTAGCTGTATAGTTAACTGTCAGTTCAATGGTATTCATATCTAGTCAGAAGTTTAATGGCAGTAACTTCCAGGTAATAGATGGTAGCCTAGGATTTGGTTTAGGGTTGGTTTTGTTAGGGAAACAAGGTTCTTGTGCCTTTAAAAACAATATGGCAGGCAGAAATTCAGCAAGCAAGTGAAGCCTTTCCTGGTATGGAAAAACAATTGTGCCCAAAACTAAGAATTTGTCAAGAATGTATAACTTGCTGTTGAAATGGAATACTCAGGATGAAACGGTGAAATCTGCTATGATTAAATGGGCACAAGATGTTGGACATAATATTATGTTTGCTGACTGGGAACAGTTATGGACCACAGGTATGAAGTTTACGGCATGTAATGCCTTAAGAGAGAATATTATGAAAATGATATACAGGTGGTACATAACCCCAGTCAAGCTTGCAAAAATCTACCATTTGCCCGATAATAAATGTTGGAAATGTAAAGAAACTGAAGGTACATTCTTTCACCTTTGGTGGACGTGCCCAAAGATCAAGGCTTTCTGGGAAATGATATATAATGAATTGAAAAAGGTATTTAAATATACCTTTCCGAAGAAACCAGAGGCCTTTCTTCTGGGCATTGTAGGCCAATTGGTGCCAAAGAAGGATAGAACTTTTTTTATGTATGCAACAACAGAAGCAAGAATACTCATCACAAAGTATTGGAAGACACAAGATCTACCCACTCTGGAAGAATGGCAGATGAAGGTGATTGACTACATGGAACTGGCGGAAATGACTGGCAGAATCCGAGACCAGAGAGAAGAGACGGTGAAAGAAGACTGGAAGAAATTTAAAGACTATTTACAGAAATATTGTAAAATTAAGGAATCTTAGAAGGATGTTGGATAGAAACTAAGGGTTTTTTAGCTGTAATGCTTTAAGAGATATGAAAAAGGGTTTGCAACTGGGTAATTTCAATGGTAAGGATTTGCTGAATCAACAAATTGAACTGGAATACAAAAAGGGAGGTATGAGGAGGTCCGGGGAAATAAGTATAAGGAAGATAGGCTATGGAAATTTAATGTCCTTTTAATTGTTTTATTTGGTATGTTTTCTTTTATTTTTTACTTCTTTGGTTATATTTTTTTTTAAAAAACTTTATTCTTGTTCTTTCTGTATTTTGTATTTTTTGTATTATTTTTTTTGAAACTTTAATAAATATCATTAAAAAAAAAAGGAAAAACAATTGTGAGAAAAGCTTCACTACAGTGACTGCAGTTTCTAATTTTGTGTTATGCCATGTCCCCCACAGCAGCTATTTTGTGGCAGGTGCCCACTGCACATTCTGAAAATTCTGAAACTGGTCCAAACAGTTTGGTGACCTCTGACCAAGAGCAATGGATAATTTTGAGTTTTAGTGCCTCCTGATGTTCCCTAGGTGTCTCTGTGCAGCCTAGGCCACTTTCTTATTTATGTGTTTATTATTTATTCCCCTGCTCACCATTCAGTTTGTAAATCTGGTCAGCTAACCATGCTGTTTCCCCCCAAATAGTAGAAAATTGCTTTGTTAATTCCAAGCCCAAGTGAGAGTGTGATGGGGTCTGGATTCTGCCCCCAAACCCTTTACCTGGATGATGCTTCAGCAGCATGAAGGATCAGAGAGGCCTGTCTTTTAATTCAATCACTGCAGTCAGTTCCTTTTGCTTTATCCTTTTTCTCTGCTTATATGAATGCATATCATTGCTGCTATTCATCCTGCAGATCAAATCCCAAGAAACATAAGGAAGAAGCATGTGTGTCCAAATAATACAAGATTTTCTGCATCCATCTCCTACTTTGGGCAAGGTTTGCTATGTCGTATGCTTGATGTCTTCCATTTATGCTGAAAGCTTTATTGTCCACCAATTCTGGAAATTGAGAGGTGTTCCAAATATTTCCCCTGAATAGGTATCTCTGTGTGTCCACATTAAGAAGTTCCGCAAGGCTTTTTCTATATGCTTTGTACTTGCTAATCTGCATACCAGTTTGCTAAAGTGAAATGCAACTTGGGAGTAATCGCAAACCAGTGCAGTGATGACTGCATATATCTGTTACTAATTAAAGGGGAAAGAATGATAAAACCTGGGGAAACACTGCAGTTTATGAGTCAACCTATTTTGGACTCGAGTCACAGACAGTTATCTAATTCTGTTATCACTGGTAATTCAACAAGGGTTTTGCATCATATCTATGAAATGCAATAAATACATTCATTAAAAAAAATTATTTTTGCAGCATGTTCATACCATTCCGTGACTGAAGTTTGCACTGAAGTCTACATTTGGGCTCATCCAAAGCACTCTCCTCCTTTGTGCCATTTTCACACACAGAGCAGTGTGGCTGCTTACAGTCCTGCTCAATAAATGTTAATCTTATAGGTGTCTTCATGGTTCATCACTGTCCTGGGGACATTTCTTATCCACTCTGCCAGAAGTTATATTTCCTTGTTGTTTTCATTCTGGCCTTTATTAACGCACTGCTAGACATGTCTGTCAAAACTCTGCTTCTGGCTCTGTTATAAATAGATCAGACTAGGGATTCTATGTTGGATTAGTTTGGTTAAAAAGAAAAACAGATATGGTGAAATAAAAAGAGGATTCCCTCGATGCCTAGATTCAGGTTTGGGGGCAAGGACTCTTTGGTCGAACAGCCCCAGCAGAGACTTAAAATCACAAAATATGCAGCAAAGTAAAGAATGGAAATATAGGCTGTTAGACCTTCAAACTATCCCCTTCTAAGTTGCTTCCAAAGTTCCCAACTTCCCTTAGCGTACAAAGAGACCACACATTTGGTAAGTTAAAAATGGTTTACTTACAAACTCATCAAAGGCCAGATTCATGTGTTTTTCCATACGACAGCAAGAAAATACAGGCAGTATATCTTAGGCTCCAAAATGGTGAGAGTTTCCAAATTATTTGTATAGAAACACAAGGATGGCTTGCTTAAGCCACCCGATCGAAGCTTGGAGCATCCAATTTAGACCACCTTACTGGTAGAGTTCATATGGTAGAAAGTGAAAGTACAGAGTTTGGCAAGCCTTCCTTCCAAGGTGTTCTTTCACTTTCACTCCAGAGGGACAAATAATATGTTTAAAGGCAATATAATCCACTTCATGATGCTAGAGGTCCTGTTTATTGATGAGAGAAAGTGTGGCTTCTCCCTCTTAATTGCTAGTGCCCATATTTTTGCATTAATTTCCCCATATTTTGTAAAGCCAGTAAGGTGAGCCTACAGAATTTGTGGCACCCAAACAGCCAGCCAGCCAGCCAGCCAGCATTCTGTGATTCAGTTTAATACTAAGTGTGATTTCAGGTTAAGCCTGCAAATAACCTTCTCTTAAAAGGCTACAATTCTACATACACAAGTCCAGCAGCAAGTGCAACTGAACACAATAGGCCTAAATCCCAAGTGTAAGTTTGGATTGCACAACTATTGCAACCCGCAACCATTGCAACTATTTCATCCATCCTCCTTTTCCCCCTCAGCAGATGGCCTGAATAAGTCCTGTGAACTTGAGTAAAAGGTAAAGGTAAAGGGACCCCTAACCATTAGGTCCAGTCGTGGACGACTCTATGGTTGCAGCGCTCATCTCGCTTTATTGGCCGAGGGAGCAGGCGTACAGCTTCCGGGTCATGTGGCCACCATGACTAAGCCACTTCTGGTGAACCAGAGCAGTGCATGGATTCGCCGTTTACCTTCCCGCCGGAGCGGTACCTATCTACTTGCACTTTGACATGCTTTCAAACTGCTAGGTTGGCAGGAGCAGGGACCGAGCAATGGGAGCTTACCCTGTCGCGGCGATTCAAACCGCTGACCTTTTGATTGGCAAGCCCTAGGCTCAGTGGTTAGGCCACAGCGCCACCCGCGTGAACTTGAGTATTTTCTCCCTACTTTGTGATGTTTCCTTTAGACGCACCAAAGGTCTAGTACTACTATTGATGTTCACTGCTTGGATCTAGCACTGAAAAGGCATACCAAGTGATTCCCACAAACATGTCTTACTCACTTTCCTGCCCCCACAATGTTTTCAAATACTCCTTCTAGCATGCAAGTCTGAGTCTCGCCAGTAGTGAAAAGTGGGTTGGTCTTGCACTGCCCCCTCAATAGCTGCCTTATGACCCCTTTCATCTTGCGAACCTAAAATGGAAGTGCAATATCTAAGAATGCTACAACTGGTCATGGGATGCTTGGATCATGACATACAACTCAAGGTATTGTGACCACAAAGGGAACATCCTCAAGCATGCAGATGCTAGGCGTCATTGCAAATCCGTTGACGGTGGCTTCAGTACATGGTATTTATGGTTCACAATAGCCTGGTTGGCTTAAAGCAAAAGGTTTGTTGATGGAACAAGGTCAAGTACGAAATGATTTGCAAACTGCTTTGAGGTTTTAGTACAGTCAAAAGGTATATTATTTTGTGAAATAAATAAATGCACAGAATAGTGCATTTGCAGGATAGTCATCTAGCATGGTGCTTGTACTTCTTGTACCTTAATTTCTTGTACCTTTTCAATGCAGAGCTATGGCAATTGTTCCGTCAGCATTTCCACTTGCCAGACTGAACAGTCCCCCTCTCCTTGACCTGCACACTGCTGTGGGGGTGGTTCTCCTTTCTGACCCCTCCCAGAGCCACTTTGGGGATGGGTGAGAGGATGGGCAGGGAAAGCCCTGTTGTGCTAGTGGAAGTCCTTGAACAGGGTTAATAATAATAATTTTATTACCGGTATTTATACTCTGTCCATCTAGCTAGTTGCCCCAGCCACTCTGGGCAGCTTCCAATACATATAGAAAACATCAAAAACTTCCTGATACAGGGCTGCCTCCAGATGTCTTCTAAAAGTTGTGTAGTTCTTTATCTCCTTAACATCTGATGGGAGGGCATCCACAGGGAGGGTGCCACTACCGAAAAGGCCCTTTGCCTAGTTCCCTGTAACTTCACTTCTCACAGTGAGGGAACTGCCAGAAGGCCCTTGGAGCTGGACTTTAGTGTCTAGGCAGAAAGATGTGAGAGGAGATGCTTCTTCAGGTATACAGGGACAACGCTGTTTAGGGCTTTAAAGGTCAATACCAACACTTTGAATTGTGCTCAGAAACGTACTGAGAGCCAGTGTAGATCCTTTAGGACTGGTGTTATATGGCCCCAGCAGCCACTCCCAATCAGCAGTCTAGCTGCCACATTCTGGATTAGTTGCAGTTTCCAAGTCACTTTCAAAGGTAGTCCCATGTAGAGTGCATTGCAGTAGTCCAAGTGGGAGGTAACCAGAACTGTACCACTCTGGCGAGGTAGGGTCTCAGACAGTGTACCAGATGGAGCTGGTAAACAGCTGTCCTGAACACAGAAGTGACCTGTGCCTCCATGAACAGCTGTGAATCTGCTAGCAATACTCATTCATTGAATCTGCTCCATTGTGTTTATATATTTCCCCCCCTGTATCTTTTTATCTGTTGTAAGCCATTTTGAGATCTTCTGATAGTAAGTGGTCTTTAAACGGAAAAAAGAAAGAAAGAAAGAAAAGAAAGAAAGAAAGAAAGAAAGAAAAGTCAGCTTAAAAGCACATGGTGTGAATATATCGTTAAAACCCAGGAAGGGAAAAACCTGGAAAACTCCACTAAGCTCATGTCTTAATATACCCTGGGTGTTATTAAACCCTACTCCATAATGAATTTTAATAGTCCTCAAACTGGTGCAGAAAGATTTGATCATATCGGTGTATGGAATTACGTTTATGCGGCATCTTCAGATCTGAATCTTGCAAAGTGCTCTGTGACCTTATTCCATCAAGGAACCTTTACTTAAAGCCAAGCTCTTCTTGTTGTCAGGCTGTTATGAACCATAAGTATCTTGTACTGAAGCCTTCTCAATTGCTTTGCGATGATGCCTAGCATCTGTTAAATACGTGGTGATTGTTTGTTTGGTGATTGCTCAGAGCAGTGCTTGAGCTTAAGAAACTCAACCTCATTTCAAGACAAGTTCAATACTAAATAGGCAAGAAAAATGGGGTGGGAGGACAGGAGGATACGGATCTCAGAAAGCGTTAGTTTTGCTGGAGATGTACCACCTTGCAGAAGAAACAGATTAAAACCTTTTATGCTGATCTTTGAAGTACACGTTAATATGCATCCGAGTTTTTTTGGAAATAGTGCACCTTTCACACCTCTTCATTGTCAGTCCTTTCCCTCATCTATAACACTGCCTTTATTTTTCTTAAAGAAAGAAAGAAAATCTCTCAGTTGTATTTCTGCAGTAATTGAAGTCCTGTTCCTGAGAAAATGAAAGTCTGTTGGCCGTGCAGATGGAACTATGGATATGTTAGCCATGTAAATTAAGCCACATTGTAATGAAATACATTTTTAAATATAATTGAAAGTCATTGTGAAATACAAATGAGTATGGTCTTGCTAATTTGATGCTGTGTGTCTCAGTGAAGCTATGAAAAGAACATTTAAGCTCTCCTCACTTCCTCTAAGGTAGACAAGTGCAGAAACAGTGCTATAGGCTGCATTCAGACATGGCATTTACAGTGTTACAAGGAAGTTTTGCTGATTATCATGCTAGCACTCTATTCCAATTTCTAACGTTCTATTTACACTGCATTACCTGTTGCATTATGGAACTGGGGCTTCTATGTTGCTATATCCCCATGCCATGCTTAATTTTAAATGGCAGGAAAGAACTGTATGCCGGGATACTGCCCCAAATTCCGTCGCATGAAATTGCAACACAAAAATCCCATTATTTCCCAAGTTAACAGGGTTGAAAACAGATTTTTTTTCCCTGGAAGAAATTAACATGGAAATGAGCACTAAACGTCTGTTGGATTCCACTAGATTTCCAGAAGCGGATTTTACATCATGTGAAAGATTGCATAAAATGTGCAGGTAAGGAAATGTCAAGACTATGGAAGAAAATGCCATCTGAACGCAGCCATAGTGTTACATTTCCTTCAAATGAGAGTAAAGAATTAGGTCACTTGTAATGTGCACTTAGAAATCTTTACAAATGCACAAGCTGTGCATAAAAGTAATAAAGGATGGATCTAGACACATCAAAAAACCATTTCAGGAAAATGTGTTGCAAACCACATAATGGAAAATAACATTGCCTAAAGACTGAACTCTGCAGCACCATCTGGTGCCACAGTGTTATAATGCATTTAAAACTTTTTTAAAAAACAAAACCCTAATGTAACAGTCCTCTAACCAGCATTAGTCTAGAGACAGGGGTCAGCAACCTTTTTCAGCCGTGGGCCGGTCCACCGTCCCTCAGACCATGTGGTGGGGTGGACTATATTTTGGAGGGGGGGGGAAATGAACAAATTCCTATGCCCCACAAATAACCCAAAGATGCATTTTAAATAAAAGGACACATTCTACTCATGTAAAAAAACACGCTAATTCCCGGACTGTCTGTGGGCTGGATTGAGAAGGCGATTAGGCCGCATCCGGCCCACAGGCCTTAGGTTGCCTACCCCTGGTCTAGAGACTCTTGCAGCTACCAGGTTGCTTCTAGTCATGTTAAACTCTAGCTAAACAAAAGCTGTGAAGCACATGCCTGCCCTTGCTATATAACTGCCATAGGAGTGAGACTAGTTATGTAAGTGACCCGTCCAGTGTTCTACCACCACCACCACCTCCTTTTTACCGCCAACTCTGGGGCACGCAGGTTGCTATCGCACCAAAGCCAAGAACTGGATCAAATAACATCACCTTTTAAGGTAAGGTTACCAGATGTCCCCATTTCCTGGAGACAGTCCCCGGATTTACAAACTAGTCCCCATACAAAATCCCAGATTCATGGAAAAAAATGTGTCCCTGGATTCATTGAAAAAAATCTGGTAACCTTATTTTAAGGGCAGGTGAGAGACATTTGCTTCCATCATCATTGTTGTTTTGTTACAGTTCTTGACCACCTTCTAGCTGCTTGGAGGTACACATATTTGCAGCAATTAAGACACCCAGTCTTATTACTTATCCTCATTGCAGGGAAATTCTGTATCTTGATATAGAGGAAATTGGAGCCTGTGCTCATGTTTAAAATGTGGATACTGGGGAAGGGTGAGCTGGGGATAATATATATACAATCACTTGTGCACCCAGGACCATGGGGATATCATTTAAGATGTACATGAGGTCCTGAAGCTCTTGGTTCCTGCACAGTCCAAAAGTTTCAAAGTCATAATTTTGTAAATACATGGAAGTGATACAGGGTTAAAAACTAGCACTCAGTCTGATAAGTAACCCCCCCCCCAAAAAAATATATTTTTCTGTTGAATTCCTCAGAGGGTGCTTACCATGAGAAGAAATGAGGAGATGCACTTCCCCATGGATTATTTGGCGTGTGAGTTAATTTAAGTTTCTCCATGTGTAGCCGCTCGCATCAGGAGAGCACCTAATCAATCATCATCTCCCTGATTTTAAGTTGTGGTCCAGCATGGGGGAAGAACTGTGTAAGAACTGTAGGAAGATTAATGCTATTTTAGAGTTTGTATTAGCCCTGAATATGTCTGGAAAATCAGAGTAAATCGTTTACATACTTAAGCTGATTAAATATCAGGGAGTTTGGGTAAGAGTGCAAGGATGAAATTATTTGATTCCTTGTTATAAAAATGATTAATGGGTGGGTGGGGAGAAAGGAATGGATCAATCCGACGTTTTAACTGAATGGAGAAGCCCCAGAACATTTTAAACATCCAGAACATTTCATTTGCAATTCAAATGTTAGCTTTTATCCAGCAGGGATTAACAGAGTGGCAGGGCCAGCTTGGGATCCAATTGATCCTGGACCAGCTGAGCCCTCTTCACACCTAGAACGCCCCATTTCAGGTCCCAAGCTGGCCCTGAGAGATCTAGGCCAGGACTGCTCACCAAGAGAAGGAACTAACTGCCCTCATCTCAAATCTCGCTATATGTACAGTATAGGCAATCCTCCAAAGGTTTTTTTAGAAAGTGAAACAAATGGGTTTTGCACTGGAAGAATCCTCTACCTCGTTCCCCCACTTCTACTGGTATGATGCCGCTTGAGTGGTATATAAGAAAAATCTGCATCTTTGATATTTGTCTCCTTGAAACTAAGCATCCTTGGAAAACACAATCCAGTAGGAATACTGAATCATTTTATAAATTGACATGATGTGAGTGAGAGGCACAGCTTTGTAATTCTTTCTGCTACACTATAATACGTGAATACGTGGGTATTTAGGCATATTGCACTGTAAAGCTATGGCCAAAAGTACTTGAATGGAACACCATTTAATTTCTTAACAAATGTTGCTATGGCTTCAAACCAGGTTTTTTCTTCCTACTAGGCTGCCTTGTTTGGGGAGGGAGGAGCATGAGAAGGTATTCATTCACAAGAGATAGATATACTTATTGTATTTTATGCATTATGTTAATACACAAAATTGTCATTGGTTTTAGTTCTGGATATTATTGCAAATAAAAACTGAGTTAATGAACTTCAAACAGGTATGTTGACTGAGTGGGAGAAAGACACTTTCAAACTGAACATTTAAACATTTGTGCAGTCTTATTTCCTATTAGTAAGCATTTGTGGATCCCTTGTTTGAATAAATTCAGACGAGAACTGTGTGGCCAAAGCACACTGAAGATATTGAATATTTTAATATCAAACACTTGCTGTGAACATTTACAATCTTCCACTGAAGAAAGAGGCAGCTACAACAGAGTAACATTATTTCTTATTCATTTTATTGGAATAAGAGTGCAAACTAATTTACTCACGGCAATTAAGTCTGGTAAATGAATCAACTTAAATAATAGCTGTAGGTATTTAATAGCTATTGCTATAAAGAATGGGTGCAAAGTAATTCCCCACCATTGCAGCTTAAAATATAACGACTATGTACAGCTTCTTACCAGAACTGACAATGCGAATGTCTGGTTTGCGTTCTTATAATTTTCAGAGGAGAACACAGGTAAGCAATCCTGAATCACATCTCATGATTATTTGTTAGATTGCTTACCCATCTTTCACCATGATGTACCAGGGTGGGTTGCAACAATTTAAAAATAAAATATTGTTGCACATCACCCCGATCTCTGAGTGGTGTGAGGTTCCATGGGTTCCAGGCGCTTACCTGGGGTTCGGTTTCCTTGAACTGAGGGAGAGCGGAGATGATGGTATCTTTATGATATAAGGTTTATTTACACATGCATTCAACCTGAGCCTAAGATGGAGGGCCTCACAGCATTAATACCCCAGAAGGTCTTGCTTCTTCCATAGCCACTGAAATATACTTGGAGTCGAGAGTGGATTTCATGCTCTTTATTCAGCTCATAGTGGTGAGGAGGAATGAAAGTTCCCCCACAATATCTGCTTTATATACATTATTTACACAATGGGCTGCACGTGATTGGCTAATCCTGGAATTCTCCTGTAGGCCAATCAGGTTGCGGATTCACTTCCACCTGGAGCTGGATTGGGTGGCTCCTGCAGACCAATCATACTGCTGCATTGTTCTAGGACCAGTCA